GGGATCTCACGGAGGGGGCAGCTGCTAATGGCACGGCTGACAAGACTAAAGAGGGCGGGAAGAACAGCTCCCTAGAGCAGCTACTGTTAGCGAGGAACAAAAAGCTCACTGACGAGCTGACTGTCCTACGCGTTTCGCACCGTGATCTGCAGGGTCAGCTGGAAGCTCTCCGTGAAGATGTTTCCACCACTAAGGAAGAGCTGGAGAAGTCGCAAACCCTCTCCACCACCCTCGAAAATGACCTTCTTCGCTTGCAGCAGGAAGCAGCCAACGCGTTCCCATCTTCGGCGATGTCCGTGGCCGGTACCTATGCTTCAAAGTACCCACACTCCTCGCGTAAAGGGGGAGTATCCCCGACATCATCGATCATCTCCGGGTTTGATCAGTCGACCATGTCTAGCAACACAATGGACGCCATTCGTGCCGGAGAGCCGGTTGGGGGAGGCTCAGGCCTCCTGCCGATGATACAAGCCCAACGGGACCGTTTCAAGAAGAAGAATTCGGAGTTGGAAGAAGATTTGTCCAAGTTGTATGGCACGGTCAAATCCCTGAGACAGGAGGTTGCATCCCTGCAAAAGGACAACCTCAACCTCTATGAAAAAACAAGATACGTTTCGACGTACAATCGGGGTCATGGCTCCTCGTCTTCCGCATCCACCTACGCAAATGTGCCTAGTGTCTCTTCCATCCATCCGTCTGCAGACACACCCTCAGGCCTGTCTGTCGATCGCTACCAGTCCGCCTATGAGGCGCAGATATCCCCGTTTGCTGCCTTCCGTGGGCGCGAATCCACGAGGGCTTACAAGCGAATGAGCTTACCTGAGCGAGTTGTATTCTCACTTACACGGATCATTTTGGCAAACCGGACTAGCCGAAACCTCTTTGCAGGGTACTGCTTTGCTCTTCACATTCTTCTCTTCGTTATGTTGTACATGATGAGTACAGTGCAAATTGAGAGTCACAGTGCTGCAAGCCTCAGTTCTTCAGCTTCGGCGGCAATGAATGGAGGAGGCGGGAGCAGCAACAGCTATGAAGGGCAACTCGATGGTGATGACTGGCAGCAGGAAGGGTTTAACCAAGCGGGATAATTCAGGGTTGTATTTTTAGTCTTTTAAGAACGGTGGGCGTTCGGTTAACGAATGGTTGCTGTTTTTGTCTTTGATAGCCAACTGTATATATTTTGACGCTCCTTTGGCCTCATTTGTCCATGTCATTGCTCGTGGGTGTAATTGATTTGACCCTATCCCATTTAATTTAGGCTGTCTCGACCATCTAGTCATTCAGGTACCTAAACCTGACCACCACCATACTAAAAACCCTCTGCATGGTGGAGACAGTATATTGTATACGCGCTGGGTTATATAAATATACATGAGCGCTTAGATTCTGCAACCCACAAGACCAGTGAAGTTCTCCGAACGCACGCGCCCTTAATTTAACAAAGCCTTTCTGCACCAATATATATATAACTCGAGTCATCCACCCACCCTTATCTCCGCGGCACTTTATCCTGGTTCTGCAGAATGCAACCTCTTGGTCTCCGCTCTTTTGCACGTTGACCAGCCAATATTGGACGGTCATGAGGCACACCTACCACACCTTGAACCTGATTCTGATACTATTCCTGTCTGATATGCTGGCGCTAGAGTTCCTTTGCATTCAACATCCGTTCCATGCGTGGACAATGTAACCTGGTCAAGGCGCTGAATAGGACGGACGAGGAGGCGACTTCGATTGTTCTACTCACAGGGTCTGAGTGACTGCGATATGCAAAAATGTTTTCTGCGAGGCGTAGATATAGCAATGAGGCAGTGAGAAGTAAAAGAATGGCTCGAGACGGAATCGAACACGAGACTCCAGTTGCCCTTTAGGTAGGGCCATTGCCGTCGTATTCTCAGCATTTCCAGGGCTCAAACTTTTAACAAGCATTGGCAGTTGCACAAGGACAGGTCACGGACCATGGAGGTAACCACGGAGACACCGTCATTCCTCAAGTCTGGTGTTCCTGCAGGCTGCATGGTGGCACAAAAAAACAACATCCTCATCGCCAGTCGTTTTCTCGCACAATGGCACCGTTGAAACAGGGCCTATGCAAATTCCAGCAGCTTCAAGCCTTCAATATATTACAAGGGCGCTTCCGGTGATTTCCAAATGGCCTTGACTCGACAGGGCAGACGCCACAGTCATTTCAGTTAGTCTGGGGATCGGATCGAGCTCCTGTTCGCTGGGGAATTCCCCGCTCGTCAGGACAAGGAAGCGCTGGTGTGGAGGTCTCGATCTCGATCCTTCAACAAAGCTCCTGCCCAAGGCTGACCAAAAATAGCAGGCAATTATTGGGTGCAAGATTCTCTGGACTTGGCTGCATTTAGCAGAGTCGCTAGGAGGAATAAGAAAGAGGTCAATCTCCCATCTGCAGCTAAGGCTCTTAGGGCGATCTGTAAGCGCCGAGCTCGATATTATTAGATGCCCGGGGCATTCCCTGCGAATGAGCGGTTTCTTCACATGCAGGATGGATTAGCAGAGTCCAATCAGAGTGCGAAAGGACTTCGACAGGTGCTGCTCAATGCGCCGGTCCCACCCCTGTTTGCTTCTCGATTTAGGTCCAGCTGGGGGATCCAAAGCGTTTGCTTGCCAGCGCATACCGGGCCCAATGGCAGAGCTGGATCGAGCTGGTCCCTCATGGGCGCCTTTCTGCGTCCTCTCACTCGGTACTGTTTATAGCTCTGACACTTTTAGTTTCGGCTGGAGATCCCTGTTGCTATTCTCTGCATGGTCGTACCCGCCATCGTGCAGGAGGGCATCACTACTGCTTCTGGGTATATAATTCCCAGCCTGCACTTTTAATTCTGCAGCCCATCTTCAATTCTTCAGTAGCTCTATCTTCTGGTTATTAGCTTTGGTCGCATTTTCCTTTGTCAGCAATTTGATATTTTGATACCCTGGTGGTCATCATTTTCTTTGTCGGTCTTCTCTTTCAACATACTCTCTCTCTCCACTCTGCTCTTTCATCTCTCGAGCCCGCTTACTCTATTACGAGTCATTCTCAATCGACTATTTATTCCTCGCTCCTCGCCCTAGAAAAATCGAATCAGCCAGCATCCGCAATGCGTTCTGTTCTGTTTCTCACCAGCTGCTTGGCAGCTACCTCCGCTGCCGCTCCCATGTTTGGGGATCTCTATCACTTCTCAGATGAGATGGCCGAGTTCTTGGGCCGAGTGGGCAAGCGCATCAGCGACGCCGGAAACGTGTTCGACCAGTCGTTGTCATGCGACGCCTCATCAATTCAGCTTCCTTCCTTCGCCTCTAGCCTCCCAGCCCCCACGGACCAGAAACCACTATATGTTGCTCTTGGCCGTGGTACTCAGGTGAGTTCACGACACACCCAGTTATAGACCTATAGCATAAAGCAGCGTCTAACAAACCAATAGAACTACACCTGTGCCTCATCAACCTCCGACTCAGAGCCGGAAGCCATTGGCGCCGTCGCGCGTCTCTACAACGCCACCTGCTTTGCTTCCACTTTCCCTGACATGATCGAGCTCCTTCCTTCAATGGCATACAGGATGAACCTGCCCAGCAACCCCTCCGACCCTCTGCCACCATCAAACTTCAACCTGATCGGCCACCACTTCTTCGAGGGCAGCGTTCCAGTATTCAACCTGGACACACCGACCCGCCAACTCGGCATCGCGAAGGTGAAGAAGGAATCTGACCTCGACGCCCCCTCGTCTGCAGTCAAGGGCAAGAATGGAGCCGTCAAGTGGCTGCTACTCAGTGCTACCAATGGGACTGTAGGATCCTACGCGAGCGTCTACCGTGTCGACACCGCGGGTGGTGGCGCTCCCAAGACATGCGAGGGGATGCCCGAGTCTTTCACTGTGCAATATGCGGCGAATTACTACATCTATGGGCAATAGGCTTGTGGTTTGAGGGCGGATACCTAGCGATTCTTTTGATTCCCATGTATATACCTTAGTTAATGAATTCAGAAATGCGCTTTCTTGAACGAATTCTCGTAGTAAGTAGGAATTCTTGGGCATCCCATGGGGGGCTCCAGGCTGTTGTAAGGTTGGAAGCCACCTCTAGTACCCCGGCTTAAGGTTCTTACTTCACCCTATCATCGCATCTTCCTTGGTAACACGGAATATACACCACCTAAATTCAATGGCAAGAGCAACCAACAAATGGAAGGTCGCTCTTTCTGAGTTCCATTGGTGGAATTGGCCACGCCTTCCCAACGAGAGTGCTAACTCCATACCCCGAATAGAAAGTGCGATGGGGGACAGAGAAGCTCCATCGTTCCTTCCCAGCTTCCATTGTACCTTCCCTATAACAATGTACATTGCGCCCAACTTCAAAAGGCAAGAGCAACCCTTAGTAGGTGTCGGCTGTGCCTTCCTACGATAGATAAATACCACTTGGCCGTTCCTCCCCAATGCGATTCTAATGCAAAGGTGCCTAGCTTGGGAAGAAAGTGCATGGAGGGACTCCATGGAGTTTGAATGTCCTTACGGGGGTTATCCATTGCGCCGTTCTCTATAACATTGTATAGGAACGCTCAATCGAAGGCAACCTTGGGAGCAGTAGAAACGCGGCACCGGGCTATAGGTAGTTCCTTCCCAGCTCGGGCAAATAGCTGGCCGCGCCTTCCTACTCGAGATAGCACTGAGCCCTGGGAAGCTGCGATGGAGGTGGCTTCAACGTTCTTTCCCTATAGAAATTTATCTATAGGACCTTCCATATTTGGAGATACGACCCCCTATCCAAACACGGAAGGTACGACTTATACATCAGGAGGAAGGAGTAACTGGGATGCGATGGGAAATATGGAAGGAGACTTGGTGACTCGTTTCTTGCAAAAAGACGGGTGATCAGGTGACCTCGTCTGTATATCACGTGATTGAAAACCCACACAGCTCTGTCAAGCTATTCCCATAACGCACTAGCGCCAATAGATTTTCGAAAGATCCGAGAGCCTGTCTGAAAAAACTCGACCGCAACAACGACGAGCTGCACGGCCTCCAGCGAATCCTGTCAATCAGTGTGGGCGTGAAACATTCTTGAATTTTTACATTCAACGACGTCTGATATTTCTATCTGACGCTCATCGCCCCATCGAATTGATACCTACACCCTCCGAACTTTTTTCTCGCTTTCCGGTTCAGCAACTCTTGCGGCCGATTTCCAGCCTCTCTTTTTGCGGCTGACGATTTATCGATTTAAAAGATACCCACGAATATCTCAATCTACATATCATAATGGGTTTCGGTGGCCCTCCTAGAGGACGTGGTGGATTTGGTGGTGGTCGCGGCGGTGGTCGCGGTGCTCCCCGTGGCGGCGGTGGTGGCCGTGGTGGTGGCAGAGGTTTGTGACGACCAAGCTATATAATATGGGATATTGGAGGCTGCCTAGCTGCCGTGTGTCTTGCCGTTTCTTGGAGATGGTGTCTGTTGATGCTCATTGTCCGGGTTGTCGAACGAGCCATGAATGCGACGCTACTGGGCGTCTTTACCCTCCAAGTGTCCCTTTGAGAATTGTCGCTGATCTGTGTCTTTTGTCGAATTCCAGGTGGTTTCGGTGGTGGTGCTCCTCGTGGCCGCGGCGGTGGCCGTGGTGCTCCCCGTGGAGGTCGTGGTGGCCGTGGTGGCCGCGGCGGTGGTCGTGGAGGCGGTGGTGCTGGTGCTAAGGGTGGTGCCAAGGTTATCATTGTGAGTGATTTTTTATCTGAAAAGACACACTAGCAGTCGCTGACTTTATTTTCCAAGGAACCTCACCGTCACGCCGGTGTCTTCGTTGCTCGTGGTGGTAAGGAAGATTTGCTCGTTACCAAGAACTTGACTCCCGGTGAGGCTGTCTATGGCGAGAAGCGCATTGCTGTTGAGGGGCCTGCGGCGGAAGATGGTGCTGTCACCAAGACCGAATACCGTGTCTGGAACCCCTTCCGTAGTAAGCTGGCTGCCGGTATCCTCGGTGGTCTGGATGACATCTACATGCGCCCCGGCTCCAAGGTGCTCTACCTTGGTTCCGCCAGCGGTACCTCCGTCAGTCACGTTGCTGACATCGTCGGACCTACTGGAAACGTCTACGCTGTCGAATTCTCCCACCGTTCCGGCCGTGATCTGATTGGCATGGCTACTCACCGCACGAACGTCATCCCCATCGTCGAGGACGCCCGTCACCCTCTGCGTTACCGTATGCTCATTCCCATGGTGGACGTCATCTTCGCCGATGTTGCCCAGCCTGACCAGGCCCGTATTGTTGGTCTGAACGCCCACATGTTCCTGAAGTCTGGCGGTGGTGTCATCATCTCCGTCAAGGCCAGCTGTATCGACAGCACGGCTAAGCCCGAGGTTGTGTTCGCGCGTGAGGTGCAGAAGATGAGAGATGAGAAGATCAAGCCAAGGGAGCAGCTGACCCTGGAACCTTTCGAGCGAGACCACTGTATTGTCTCTGGTGTCTACAATCGTTCCGCATAAAAAGCCAAAAAGCAGGTTTCTTTGTAACGGGGTTTCTGTCTTTCCTTCTCATGTCTTAATTTTGTGCTCAGTCCTGGCGTCGAGTGTGCTACGATTTATTGAAATGTTTCGCTTTTTTGTTCTATGTCGAGGAATTTAGATGTTGTTTCTGGACATTTGAAACGTCGTGCATGGAGTTAATTCATTTATCTCACTTCAATCTGTTCACAAACTCTCGTAAGCACTTTACCGTAGCTTCCAGTCGTTCATGTGAAATTAGCCATAGGGTGTCACGGATCTGTTTTGGGCGAGTTGTCAATATCTCGGACTTCCGCCGCGTCTCCAACCAGGTTTTGGGACAACCACGACAGCTCGGCAGTCGGGCTATTTGCCGACAGCGTTTGCCTTCGGAATTGGTGCGTGGGATATCCATTGAGACTGGCTAATCACAGTCCATCGTCTGCTGCCTCGCACTTCGCAGGACGAAAGACATGGGGGATGAACCATGTAGGGCGGGTGGTTAAATTCCGGGGATGCCCCGCAAGACTGTGAGGAGATACCTTTACTTCTCATTTCCTGCAGCTCTTTCAATGCATTGTTGAATTATCCTTACTTCTTGCATCTTTATCACCTTCTAACTCGTTTATATACCTCCAAATTCCACCAACCCGTCTTTAGAATGTCGATTATCATCACCGGCGCCGGTGGCTACGTCGGCCAGGAATTGGCCTCTGCCCTCCTCGCCAGCGACCCCAACTTGACAGTGACACTGGCAGATGTAGTAGCACCCGATGTTCCAGCATCTGCTACACAGCACGCTTCACGCACAAAGTGCGTCAAGGCCGACCTCACCTCCCCCGCCGTAGTCGACGAGCTCTTCAGCTCGACTAACCGCTACGACACGGTCTACCTGCTACACGGGATCATGTCCAGCGGCGCAGAAGCGAACTTCGAGCTCGGCGTGCGCGTGAATCTCGACGCGACTCGCTACATCCTCGATAGACTCCGGGCCGTGCAGCCGGGCGTCAAGGTCGTGTTTACGTCTAGTCTAGCAGTCTACGGTCTTGCTCCTAAGGGGTTCGTCATTGACGAGACGAATTTCCCGCCGGTGCCGGAATCGAGCTATGGAACGCAGAAGCTCGTTATTGAGTTTTTGCTGAATGATTACTCGCGCCGTGGGTTCTTGGATGGGCGTGCTGTGCGTTTGCCCACGGTGACTGTGCGAGCGGGAAAGCCCACGCAGGCGGCGAGTAGCTTTGCGAGTGGGATTATTCGCGAGCCGTTCAATGGGGAGAAGGCGGTTCTGCCGGTTAATAGGGATGTTGAGATGTGGGTTTGCTCGCCCTATACTGTTGTGAAGAACTTGATGCATGCGGCTACGGTGCCCAAGGAGGCCTTTGGGGACTCGAGATCGGTCAATCTTCCTGGGATTGTGGTTAGTGTGCAGGAGATGTTAGATGCGCTGGAGGAGGTTGGTGGGAAGGAAAAACGGGCGCTGGTGGAGGAGAAGTATGATGCGGATATTGATCGGATTGTGCAGACTTGGTCGCCGCATTTTAACCCGGCTAGGGCGTTGAAGCTGGGATTTTCGGAGGACATTCCTATTCTCGAGAATGTACGGCGATATGCGAGCCAGTTCAATTAGACACTTAATTTTGGTGGTATTAGAATGAATGAACGGAAATATGAACGTTAATTGCAAGAAACAGACGGACTGCCCTGACTGTATGATGTACGGAGTGGGCGTAGGGAAGTGTCGGGATCCAAAGCGGTCGTTGGAAAAGCGAGTCATGTGATTGGCCAGCGGGCTGGCGAACAATTTGACGACTCCCGAACTTCGACCTCGCAACTCCAGGGTCGTCCAGCCTCATCATCCTCCATTCCACCTCCCTCCCTCTCCACACCCACTTTCCATCCTGTCACAATGGCTTCCCGGCGTTTAGCCTTTAACCTCAACCAGGCTCTGCGCAGTCGCGCCGCCCTGAAGTCCATCCAGCCCGTCAAGCGTGGCTTTGCTTCTCCCGTCGCCCTCCCGTCCACCACCCAGTCCACCACCCTTTCCAACGGTTTCACGGTACGAATCGACTGCATTGGTGTTTGCAATCGCGTTGGATCGTGGCTAACATGATTTAGATCGCTACGGAACACTCCCCATGGGCTCAGACGTCGACCGTCGGCGTGTGGATCGATGCCGGTAGCCGGGCAGAGACTGACAAGACCAACGGAACCGCGCACTTCCTGGAGCACCTTGCCTTCAAGGTGTGTATTTTAAAATCCAGATGTTTTTATCATTGCTAACAGGTTGTCAGGGCACCAACAAGCGTTCGCAGCACCAATTGGAGCTCGAGATCGAGAACATGGGTGCTCACCTCAACGCCTACACATCGGTATGTTTCGGGTTGATAAATGGAACAATATTTTGGGCCATCGCGACTAATAATTGCTTATAGAGGGAAAACACCGTTTACTACGCCAAGTCCTTCAACAACGATGTCCCCAAGGCCGTCGATATCCTCGCCGATATTCTGCAACACTCTAAGCTTGAGTCTTCCGCCATTGAGCGCGAGAGGGATGTGATTCTCCGTGAGCAGGAGGAGGTTGACAAGCAGCTCGAGGAGGTTGTCTTCGACCACCTTCACGCTACTGCTTACCAGCGCCAGCCTCTCGGCCGTACCATCCTCGGCCCCAAGGAGAACATCCAGACCATCACCCGTGACAACCTGACCGAGTACATCAACACCAACTACACTGCTGACCGCATGGTCCTTGTTGGTGCTGGTGGTATCCCCCACCAGGACCTCGTCAGACTCGCTGAGCAGCACTTCGGTTCTCTGCCCAGCAAGCCCCCAACCTCCGCCGCTGCCGCCCTCAGCGCCGAGCAGAAGCGCCAGCCCGAGTTCATTGGGTCCGAGGTCAGAATCCGTGATGACACTCTCCCCACTGCTCACATTGCCCTTGCCGCTGAGGGTGTCAGCTGGAAGGACGATGACTACTTCACTGCCCTTGTCGCCCAGGCCATCGTCGGTAACTGGGACCGTGCCATGGGCAACTCCCCTTACCTCGGCAGCAAGCTCAGCTCCTTTGTCGAGCGCAACAACCTCGCCAACAGCTTCATGAGTTTCTCTACCAGCTACAGCGATACTGGGTGAGTGTTTGGTTTTATTTGAGAAAAACAAAGTGACTCTGACTAATCTTCCGTCCTTCTTTAGTCTCTGGGGTATCTACCTCGTCTCCGAGAACATGACTGGCCTCGATGACCTTATCCACTTCGCTCTCCGTGAATGGTCCCGTCTGTCGTTCAACGTCACCGCCGCTGAGGTCGAGCGCGCCAAGGCTCAGCTCAAGGCTTCCATCCTCCTCTCCCTTGACGGTACCACCGCCGTTGCCGAAGATATTGGTCGCCAGATCATCACCACCGGCCGCCGCCTCTCCCCCGAGGACATTGAACGCACAATCGGACAGATCACCGAGAAGGATGTGATGGATTTCGCCAACCGCAAGCTCTGGGATCAGGACATCGCCATGAGTGCTGTTGGCAGCATCGAGGGTATCCTCGACTACAACCGTATCCGGGCGGACATGAGCCGAAACACCTACTAAACGCCTAACTAGAATATGCGTTTTCTTTTGTCCGTCTCTGCCGGTTTCATGCCACTTGTTTTGTTTTGCGTGTGGTGATTTTAATAGATAGATACGGGGAGAGAGAGGGGAGATGAAGCGTGTCCTGTACAGTACGCAACTGTCGCTGATATATCAAAATGTATTCTTTTGTTACTTGATTCCATGCCGTATGAGTTTTGATATAAACCACCCCTGCAAGTGAGCCATTATGCGCTGCGACTTCGTTCACACTAACTGCATCGGTCTGCATACCGCGCTAACTGTAACCCGAATACTACCTGAGTTGATGCTAGTGCAGGAAACTCCTGTAATTCGTTATTTTAGATGACGAAGGAACACGACGGGAAATTTCGATGCGGGGGACCGAAAGGTCTTATAATCCTCGATGAGATGCTGCGCCGATCACATTCAGCTCATGCTGACACCCATTTCGCATTCTGCATGTACCAATTCCCAACCTCCCATGCCATCTCAGTCAGGACACAGCCAAGATAAGAAGACAAGTCCCCTTGTACTACGAGGCCAACAATGGCAACCCACCTCAAAGCCCTGGCCTTGCTAGCCATAAGCTCCATGCTCAGCGTCCTCCCAACCCCAGCCACCGCATCCAATGCCGGCGCCAACACCAACCGCTTCGACTTTGTGATCATCGGCGGCGGAACAGCGGGGTTAGCAGTCGCAAGTCGACTCTCTGAAATCCCAGATATAACAATTGCCGTGATTGAGGCGGGCAAGGACGAAGGGAATAACCCCAACGTTTCGAGTGTTGTAGAGTACGGTGGAACAGCAGGGCAGGGCACGCAAATTGACTGGTCGTATGAGACGGTAGAGCAGAGGTATGCTGGTGGAAGGAAGATTGGGTTTCATGCTGGGAAGGCGTGGGGTGGGACGAGCACGATAAATGGTTTGTTTTCCAGCACAGCACAAGCATTGAACTCGATGTGTTCTGTTTAGAGAAATATGGGCTTACTGATGTTCCAGGTATGACGTATATACGCGCTGAAGAAGCCCAAATCGACTCATGGGAAACGCTCGGGAATAAAGGGTGGTCTTGGGCCAGTTTATGGCCTTACCATTTGAAGAGTGAACGGTACGAGACGCCGACTAAGGCGCAGTTGGCGGCTGGGGCATCATATGTGGATTCGTATCATGGACGCGACGGACCTCTCAATGTGGCGTATCAGTACGGGCTCCAGAATGGCTCGTTTGCGTCTCTGGCGAAGGAGACCTGGGAGGCTTTTGGAATGCCCTTTAACCCCGATGTTAATGGGGGAAACATACGCGGATTCTCGGTCTGGCCGCAGACTCTTGACCGTGAGGCAAATGTCCGGGAGCATTCTGCGCGGGCTTATTACTATCCTGTTAGGGACCGGTCCAATCTCGTTATATTTAGAGGGAGAGTGGATAGGGTATCGTGGGCTGAAACCAACGAGAGCAAAGTATTGGCGGAGGGGGTCGAATATACCACGGAAGATGGTAAGGCTAAAATTCTCTATGCGGAGAAAGAGGTCATTGTCTCAGCCGGAGCTGTTCGAACACCGGCTATATTGGAGCTTTCTGGGGTTGGAAATCCAGAGTATGCACATTCAGATACCCTACTGCCCTACCTTGTACTAACATCCAACTAGGCTATTAAAACAACTTGATATACCCGTCAAAGTACCCTTATCATCTGTCGGCGAAAACGCCATAGACCAACCAAACACCTTCATTAGCTACTCCAGCACCAAAAACTTCACTGGAATCGCCCCATATGTAACATACATGACAGCCTCCGATGTCTTCGGGCCGGAGACACAACGCATCGCAGACGAAATCTCTTCCGAGATCAAATCCTGGGCCGAACAAGTCTCCGCAGACAGTCCAGGACAAGGATTCCCTGCCTCTGCAATCGAGCACCAATACCGCGTGCAGCATGACCTAATTTTCAACCAGGACACCGCGATCACCGAGATCCTAACAACAAGTTTGGGGCCGCTAGTTGGGACGGCGTTCTGGATTTCACTTCCGTTCTCCAGGGGGAGTGTGCATATCCACTCGTCTGACCCGGGTGTTTATCCTTCTCTTGACCCCAATTATTTTGCGGCAGAGTGGGATCTCGTGTTCCAGAGGAGGATTGCGCAGCTTATATTTAGGTACTGGGGTACGGATCCTGTGCGTTCTTTGGCCGGACAGCGTCTTCAGCCGGCGGTCGGGGATTTACCATCGAATGCCACAGATGAGGCGTTGGATAAATGGATTGCGAGTTCGTGTGAGTGCATTCTCCCTCTTGAATACTGACTTTTTTGGGCTGGATGCTTATTCTTTCAAGTCTCTGCCAATCAGCATTTGGTTGGTACGGCGTCGATGCTTCCTATGGAGTTCGGGGGTGTAGTTGACACTAATCTTGTTGTCTACGGTACCGAGAATGTAAGGGTTGTTGATGCTTCTGTCTTACCGGGTCAGAATAGTGGGCATCTTACCAGTCTCATTTATGCGGTGGCGGAGAGGGCAGCGGATATCATTAAGGAGACGCTTTAGGTGCGTAGGATGGGGTTTGGATGCTCATTGTATTGACTATGAAAAAAGATAAACCAGGAAAGTCACAACGCGGGATTAAAAGCCAAGGGCTATCTAAGATACACCCGTCATCCTTAGAAGTCCTCGTCGGAATCATTATTCAGAACTATCACCCTCTGCACCCTCTCCTGGTAATTATTTCGCCTCCGGGGCTGCAAATCGCTGAGCATCGTCCTTTCGGTAATGTCGCGGTGGCCGTCGGGGTTGTCTCTCGAGAGCGAGAGCAGCATCTCCCGGGGAAGTTCGCGCTCGATGCGGGCCCTTGCTGTGGCGTTCGTGATAAGGACCTTGAGGTTCGGCCATATATAGGGATCTGCTATGGTCCGATAGAGCATCCCGACCACCTCACGCAGCTCGGAGTACCACTCCTCCCGCTCGAAACAGCCGATGTTCTCGATTAGACAAAGGACTCCTTGACCCCGAGGAAGCTGCCTGATAAGTTGGCTGAGGGTCCAGCACAAATCCTGGATCTCATGCTGTTTGATGCCGTTCGCGAAGGGCCGGGTATCGATGAAATTGTAGTTGAATGGATGGCCTGTGTATAGTAGTTGGGTGACCAGGCTTCGTAGGAGACCACGAGGGCCAACCACTGGGCTTATGCGGCAGTCATGCTGGCCACAGAAGAAGTGGATCACTGTGGAATTCCACCTTTGGGATAGGATTATGGCAAGGTGGGCGCTGAGACAAGACAGTGGAGATGTTCTAGAGTGACCATCGTAGTTTGCGTTAACCAGCAGCAGATCGGGGTTTGAGGACGAGAGCCATTCATGGAACCTGGCTGATGACAACAGCTGCTGAGCTTGCATCTGCGCAGTTGCGTCGAAGGATGCCTCAGATCGGAGAATGTCCTTCAAATCGTTGACTGGTCCCATGTGGTATACATTGAGTGCTTGTAGTAATTGTCCCCCGGAGAGGAAAGATGCTGTGTCAGGGGCCTGCTGCATCGCTGGGCCTGACTGTACGCGGTTTGAGAAAGGGAAAGAATTGGTGAGCGAGAGACTCTCTACTTGTCGGCATTTCTCATCTATGAGGGCATGGAGGAAACTGTTTTGGGCATCGATTCCGTTTGCTATGCGCTGGAGCTCGCGGCGCATTTCTTCTCCCTCTGCGTGGGTATCCTCCATCTTGCGCTCTAAGTCGTCCCAATGACGACGAATGTACGTGACGTCTGTTCCAGTGTGTGATACTGTCTCACGTATAGCCTTGGTCTGCATGAGGGTCTCGCGTGTGTTGGTGTTAGTCTCGATGGTAACACCGTCCCGAATGTTGTCGAGGCAGACCTGGAATCGCTGCACTTCACCCTGCATATCGTTCAATATGCCATTGATTTCATCAGCCCGTATTGTGGGTCTGAGTATCTTCTGTGAATATCTCAGCAGCTGGTGCCCCATATGTCCCGAATGACTGGCATTCAACTTGGCGATGAGTTGCTGGACCGTCTCTATGACCTTCACATAGAGATCGACTGCACACTTCCTCAGTGGGGGATATCGTTTGAACTGGCACCGCTTCGCTTCTGTACCCGCAATTATGTCTGGGATAGATCGAAAGGCCTTGAGAATCATTTCACGAATTTCTGCTTGTTGTTTTGCGATCTGAGCCATGATGTCAAACAATGCTGTCAGCTCTGCTTCAGTGAGAGGAAAGGGACCACGTACGCTAAACACCAGCTTCAAGCCCGCGCTCAGTAGGGATAACCCATATTCACTTGGAATAATGTCAAACCATGGCGTTATGTCAGCAGCATTGTCGCCTGCTTTCCGCAACGCTCCTCGCACCAGATGAGCAGGTTGAATTCCCTTCCCCCTGCGGTTATACTCATCCTCCGCCGCCTGCAACTCATCGAAGACGTCGTCCCAAGTGCAAGATTTGACGTCCCATTTAATGTCCCATGTTTTAATATAGGACATTAGTGCATCTTCCAGGTCGCTGGAATCCTTAGCAACATTTTCCACGCAGAAGTCGGTATCATCTTACTTGTAAGGCTGCCGTGCAACGAAGACACCCCGTTGGCTGTCATAAACCGATTCCACTGCAAATGCTTCATGGTACTGAGGCGCTCTCTGGATAACAAAGTCTCTTGCTGACCCTGCTACATCTGAAGTCCCTGGAGGTTCCATCATAGAGAATTAGTAATGATTCTTTCTGAATCTGAGTTGCTCCTTATAGGTACCGCGCGTGGAAGCAAACATCATCAGAATGTACCGGGACGGGACATTCTGCAGTGCCACAGTATTTCGGAAAGGGCAAACTGCATCTCACAACTCTTAGAAAAAAACCGGAATAAGAGAGTCGTCAACATTTCTCTTCGCGGTGTCTGTTTTGATAGCCAAACTCCCACTTTGCTGAACGGGAGAACTCAGATTACTTCACTCTCCTTCCTCTCGCCAGAGATAAACAGATAATCAGGAAAAAAGGACATACGGGAGAACAAACAAGTACCTAAGTACTTCGTATAACATGGACGAATCTGCAGGAGAAACGGGACTGCAGGCCGATGCAAGTATACACGGTCCTGTTGACAATGGAGATTGGGCGGATTCGAACGACAACAGCATTGCACCTGATCCTGCCGCTAATGAATACATACAGACTCTAGAAGAGCGTCTGTCCAAACTGGAGCGCAAAATCCATGACTTAGAGGGTGTTTCGCCATCATATCACGGCCCAGCCCAGAGCGATGAGACCACTACAGAATCTGATATAGGCAGCGTGAGCTCCGTCCAAGGTGACGAGCAAAGCAAACAAATTCCGAGCTTACCGCAATCTGCTAAGCCTATGATTCCTAGTCTTTCCAAGGTTGGCCGGTTTGGCTTTCACAACTTTCTTGAGGGGGACGATGTGTTTGCGATAGATGTGTGCTCCGTCAAGTCGCCGGGCCGTAATAATGACGACGGTTCCTCGAGGAAATTCAGAGACATGGGACCAAGTATGGACTATAAGCGGGGGGTGGAGATGTTTTTAGATCTCAAAGTCCCACCGACAGGTGATGATGTTGTTGTTTGTATTCGGATAAATTCTATGGCCATTTTGACTCTATTGCACGACATTGATCCCAGAGTCCCGATTGATGGGTCGCCTCTACTAATCGACTGTCCATTTTTGAGTCTGATCCATTATCATGACAAGGTAAAGCAGATTCTAGATCGGACTCGCGACGAGCTTGGTCTTGGGTCTCACTCAGCAGTGGCAGCATCGGATATTGATGCGGAACAGCAAGAGAGCCGGCATAGTGCTGAGGAGCTTCTCCGTCATATGGACCCCTACATGCAATTTATGGATACAGAGGTGCTCCCTAAGTACCGCCGCCTAGGTTTCCCAGAAACCAACACTGTCAACGCAAAGGTTCGCTTCAGCGAGTTACCCTATCTCTTCAGGCGGGACGACGATATCTACCAGCCAGCGGCTACCAACGCTCTTTCAGAAGACTTCCTTGAGCATCAGGAGGTTTGGAGAATTCACCCTGATCCGATATCTAGCTTTTATCGGAATTCGAACGAGGAGTTTGGTTGTTTCTCCCTGGATTGTTATCATATTGCTTTCGACGGAACATCATACGTACCGATCAGACAATGTTTAGCAATCGAGGAATTTGAGGGCGAACGTGACGTGACGTCGCTGTCCATGTATCCCATTCGATTTATGCCAAATCACCGCGAGATTCTGAGTGAGCTACGGAACAGAGGGGCGAGGTTTCTGGAATATATCAGCTCGAAACAGGTGTCGTACCAGGGATGGGCCTTGCAACAGCCAGACGGCCATGGAAACGACCGCACATACATATCAAGCAATTTGGTCGTTGACTTTGCTGAAACTTCTAGAGCACATCCAGAATGGTCAGTTAACTTCAATAAAACAGATTGGAATGAGAGCAAACCCTTTGTTTACCCCCGAGACGACCAGTCAACCTTGTGGGGGTTGAGTCGGACCACCAACAAACTTGTTTTCAAAACCCACAAGACTGAATCGCTGTATGGTCTTTCCCTTTCCCATGAACAAACGGACATCTTGCTCCAAAATCATCCATTTGTTCTTGAGTATTCGAAGAAACAGGAGGATCATCCTGCCATCGGCCAGCTCCAAGATGAGCCGAAGATTCAGGGACATGAGCTCGTCCTCCTACCAAAACGGCTGTTTGCCTACGCCTTACAAGATCGAAAATTCGTCATGTTGGACATAGCAAATGCAAAGTCCATAGCTCAAACAGGGGACCCTTTCAAGGAGTTAATCATCTCGCGGAGTCATAAAGATATGATATCATCTCTTGTTCACGCTCACTTCGAGAAAAAGCAAATGGAACAGTTACACGGTTTCTACCACACCAGCCAGGATATCATCCATAACAAGGGCCGGGGCCTCGTGATTCTACTGCACGGCGTTCCTGGGGTAGGCAAATCTTCGACAGCAGAGGCCGTGGCGCAGCGCTGGAAAAGACCCCTTCTTGCTATCACCTGTGGAGATCTAGGCTTGGAAGCTGCTGATGTTGAGCACTCCCTCAAGGAGATCTTCCGGCTGGCACAGCTTTGGGACTGCATCTTACTCCTAGATGAGGCGGATGTTTTTCTATCCCAGCGCTCTGTTTCGGATTTGCAGAGAAACTCGCTTGTATCCGGTAAGTTATATAGGCATTGCAAGTTTTCCTGTCTCTACTAACGTACTTGACAGTTTTCCTGCGCGTATTGGAGTACTATTCAGGGATCTTATTTCTCACTACTAACAGGGTGGGACATATCGACGAGGCGTTCATGTCACGCATTCACATGAGCTTATACTACCCGCGGTTGGATCTGGACCAAACAGTTGATATATGGAGGATGAACATCGATAGGCTGCAGTCAATCGAAGATGAACGCAGCGAGGCAACGGGTAAGCCAGCACTCACCATTGTCGCCGACGAGATACTGGCATACGCCAAGAAGCATTTCCATGCTCGAGGACCGGACAGAGCATGGAACGGCAGACAGATACGAAATGCGTTCCAGACCGCCGCTGCACTCGCGCGCTACGAATCGGATACCTCATTGAATGAGGCGAACAAAAATCCCCATCATGTTTTAGCCCGGCACTTTAAGACAATCGCACGAGCTGGCCGCGGGTTTGAGGACTACCTACGCGAAACTAGAGGCAAGAGTGACAGTGATCTCGCATACGACACAAAAGCACGCGCAGACCATATAATCGAAAGCAAATATCAAACCCAACCCATAATTTCTGAAGCAGCCAGTGGGCCCGGGCCGAGCAAATACCAGGGCACGTATCTGAATCCTAATCAAGACAACCATCTCTCGAACATTCAGGCAGGAGGATACCAGACCGCACCACAGTACAACAACCTCAGTAGTGGGCAGTATACACCCAATGCGTACTCTCAAGGACGGGCGTCTCCGCAACAGTTTCACAACGCGGGAACAAACCCATTCATAAGTATGAATGCTGGAAACCCGAGGCATACCACGTCCTCGCGGTCAATGACTCCGCAGCCGCCTATGGAGTCTAGAGGCGGGAACTTCTCGTTTGAGCGTGTGGAAGCCCCTTCTATAGCCATGGCGCAGTATCAGTGTCACGTTCCTCAAGATGATGATGAGCTTAGTTATTGAGTGGGTGAATTTCCTCGGTGAGTCCGTTTGGGTAGGTATGGTATGCCCAAAACTATTTTGGTAGGATTTTATTTCAAATTTCGGGACATCTTTGTATTGCAACGTGGGCATCAAAAACATCTAGTTGGTTTTATGTAGCCCATGGGCGACCATCAGATTCGGGATACGAGAATCGGATCCCCAGGGTGTTTTTCTCGTAGAAATTGCTGCTATATTTCTCGTCGCATTGAAACAATGGACGCCAACAGCCGGTGTGGATACTAGACTCAGGCGAGTAAACACCCTATCTCGACAGTGGAGACTGCATCGTATGGATGCTTTTATTTTCTTGTTTCAAGCCGAAAATCTATTCTTAGTTCGTATTCAGCCAAGGACGCTGAGTGACAGGTTGGCTTCGCTTTCAATGCCCACCAGCAACTCAGTTTGGTTATCAAGCAACATATCTGGACCAATCCACCAGCATGGAAATATTCTGCTCTAACAGAATAATGTAACTCTCCCCCTCTGCTCTGCGTAATCTTCATGCTGCGAGTGCTCAGATCGCCGGTTGACTGCGGATAAGGATAGTCTCCCCAAAGCAGTAGGAATCTTCCATAACTTAACCTTAACTACCTGACCTTCCCAGCAACGCCCGACCAAACCCCTCGTTTCGGGTAGATGGGGTATAAGCTCACCGAAATGCAGGGCAGGGTCAAGACAGGCAGAGATCCTCGTGGCTGTCATTCGCCTTTGACTTTCCGAGATGACAGATCTGTCAAACGCAGACGCCTGGCCGGTCGATCAAACTGGAAACATGCTTGGTCGACTCGCCTAAGGGGGGACTGAGCTCCGAGATGTAACTGCTCTCTTTATCCCGCAAGAAATCAGAGATTTAGGCTTTTGTGGTGCAATTATCGCTCGCTATATTGAACCATATTATATACCCATGTTCTCTTGGCAGTCACATGCGGATTTGGATAGACGGTAGCAAAGCAGGGGGCTGAGATTAGGGGATAAGATCTCGGCTGTTTGAGCTTTTCTTGACGTGCTGATAGCATCATTGCATGAATGTCAATGTACCTGGCCTGGTTAGTGTATACGCGGTGAGGTGATCGTGAAACGGAAGATAGCGAGTCTCGTGTGGTATTTCCTAGGTGGGAGGAGCTTGGGCCAGGGTGACATCGGTCGAAGGCCAGTTGGAAGAAGCAGATAGGCGATATCAAGTCGGGGCGGAAATCCTCGGCGGTTATGGCGTGTTGTTGTTTGTGTTGGTGTTGTTGACGCTGTTGTTGGGGGGCAGCACGTGCGAGTCTCCCCAGTCCCCTCATCTCCATCAAGGCTCTGAGTTGACTCGCAAATCCATGGATTCAATCAGCCCAGCAGGAACCCTGCCAATCACCTCAGCGGCGTAATCATCGCGATTCATGTGCGCAATTCACCAAGTCCGTGGTCTTATCTCAGCGAATCACGCCGGTTCGCAAGCAACTGCTGTGATGGCGAAGTGCATGAGCCCCGAATCAGTGATCTTGACGATTAAGCGTGCCAGGAATGACCAGTCACTCGCACAATGAATGGGTCGCGATTGGCCCTGTCGATTGGCCAAGTTTATCGCCGTTCTCTGGCTGGCCCAACGGTGAATCGACCTAGCGTGAATCCGAGCCAAGCATCCACTGCTCGCCTCATCGCCGGCCTGTCATTCGTCTTGTCCTCGATCAATGGGGGCCAAATGCGCAGATGCCTGTCCTGGTCGGAAAATGGCGCTTTCCGGGGAACGCCTTTCCCCTCCTGGCTGCGTCTCCAATATCAAGAGGCAATCGCGGTTCGACGGGGGTGTGCCATGGCCACTCTTTTCGCCGTAATCTTAACAGCGCTGTTTATTGCTGACAGAGGCAGTGACTGACATCTGTTACTGCGGAGGCCGAGCCATGGCTTCTGCGATAAAAGTGAAGAGTTACGTCCTTCATCGTCCTGTCCTGATGGGTTTCCTCATTCCTGGCTTCCTTCGCTCCCGTCCAACCTCTCGCCCGGCGCTCTCTGCGGAATACGATTAATGGTCGGCGTCCTAGCGCTTCGACGTCACACCAGCGGTGAAATTCATTCATCGTAATTTATTTTTTTCTGGCCAGCAAAGATACCAAGACCAACCCCAGCCACGGTCCCCTTTTTGTACAACCTTGAAACCCTTGTCTGCTCGAGCTCTTTGTTGTCGAGTCTCCCGTCAAGAGTATTGTTGCCTCGTATTGTTAACCACAAAGCTTCTTCGGTTGAGATCTTCAGTGCCTTCCTTCCCAAGTTCCTCTTGTCCGATCGGCTTTTTAGCGATTCTTCGACGATCGTCGCCCTGCCTTTCTCCATTATCTGCATTCTGCAGAGCTTGACTCCCCGCGCAGTGGATTGAAGCCCGGCACGTGCCTCTTCACCGGAAACGGGGCCGTCATGAATTACGATGTGACCGCAGAACCCTCACCACTTCAAAAGTTATTGCAATATTCTCTACGACAATAGGTCTCGAAAATCTGGGGTTTTCTTCTCGCTGGCCCCTGCCTGGGGGGTCCGTCGAGCCAACCGTCACAATGCAATCGCTGTTTCGGCCACGAGGAATCTACTCGGAAGTCCCTCCAGATATCCGGACGAGACTCGATGACAATCCGACACTTTTGGTGAGCTGGTGGGCGACAGGCGTGTCGCTTGCCATTATTGTCACCCGACTCTGTGGCCGCTATGTGCGTATCGAGCGTCTCTTCCGCGAAGACAAAATCATGATGGCGAGTATCATTCCTCTACTGGCGAGGATGGCGTTTGTGCATGTTGTGTTGATCTGGGGCACCAACAACACAAAGGTGCATGGTTTGACCGACGAGCAGATTAGACATAGGGAAATGGGGAGTCGAATGGTCCTCGCTGCCCGTATCTTCTATGCAATTTTGTAAGACTACACTTCAGAATGTTCCGAGATGACCAAGAGCTGATAAGTTGTTGATTACAGTATCTGGGCAGCCAAGCTCACTGTGTGTGAATTCCTCCATCGGATTGCCGGAATGACATGGAGACGGTCGCTTCGAGTTTTCCTCATCTTCATCTACTATTTTCTAGCTTCAACTCTACTCGCAGTAGTCATCGCGACGCTCGCCGAATGTCAACCATTTAGGCACCACTGGCAAGTCGTACCCGACCCGGGTCCGAAGTGTCGCTCTGGCTATGCCAACGTCATCACTATGGGCGCGTGCGACATCGTCACCGATCTACTCCTTGTTGCGTATCCAATTCCTCTCGTCATGCGATCAAACATGTCAGGGAGGCGGAAACTTGCTCTTGTCACTCTCTTCGCCCTGTCGTTGATACTGGTTGCAATCACCAGCTACCGAGTACCGGCTGTGATACAGCACAGAGGCTCCCAGCAGTATCGATCACTTCTAGCCTCCCTGGAGATATTAGCCGCTACCGCAGTCTCGAATGTAGTGGTTATTAGCTCGTTCGTTAGAGACAAGGGTGTCAAGAAAGTCAAGTACAAAAAGACCTTGGGCTCCGCTTCCGTCAACGAGAGCCTCGACCACAGCTCTACTCGCCGTGCAACTATCACCAATCACCAATGGGGCAGTGACTCCGACCTCGCTCGCGATCTGGGATTCCGTCTCGATCCCGAACTATACCCCCGTGATCATGCCGAACCACGCCCAGCCCCCATCGTTACCGGAGGCGTGGTAGACCCGAACTGGTCCTTCAGCCAACAAACGACCGCCTTCGATGACCAGTCGTCTACAAGCAACAGTCTCGACATGAAAGTTAGCCCGCACGAATACCTCCGCTCAAACAATACCACCCGCGACCAATCCGAGGACTCCCCCGATCAAGTCCCAATCTTCGATGTCGGCGGACTTCTCACTCAACCCACGCCACCATCAACAAGCCACCACAGCAGCCCTCCCAACAACACCCTCTCGTCGCAGTCCCAGACCACCCGAAACCAAAACAATCCCACCCTCGCTCTCCAGGACATAAGAGGGCTTGTCTCACCTTCAGGCGACATATCTCCTTTAACAACCTCCCCCTCACAACACCTCCCACCTTCAACCCTCCACCCTCCCCGCCCTGGCGGTCTCCGACGCGGCTCCCAACAGGGCCGGCGCCGCTCAAGTGTGCATTTCAGCGATTCCCCCGACTCACCCGTGTCCTCCTTACGGACTCAATCTCAAACAGCAACGATTCACGAAAACGCGGATGAATTCGAGCTCCAGGATGTAGGGAGTTTGCTTTCGCGGAACTCGTGAGGGCGTGGCTCTACCGACCATTACTCTTTTATGACTTATACGGCTCTTCTCCGGTGTACTAGTAGTGGTTCAGTCTAGTTCAATTCGGGTCGGCTCACTTTTTTGGGTTATCTAGGCTAGGCTCGGTATTTTGTTAGGTTGTTTTCTTTTCGCATGTTAGCGATGGCGTTTGGAATAGGTTTGGTTATTTTCGAGGATTTATGGGTATATCCATTTGAGTACTTCGGTACGGTAAATAAATCGTTAATGCATACATGTTTATCACATACTTAATCAATTTCAGAAATGTTTATTGCTGCAGTAGTGTCTCTTTAAATAGTAAAAAAACTGAGTTGAGAATTTAGCTGGGTCACAGTCCTAAAGCCCTAACTCGGGTCATTGGGAGGGCAAGCCACAATACAATCTACGACCTTGGTTCATACAATTTGAAAACATCACCCGAGTCATTATGATTAGGTTATTGTCCTCGTCCAGGACATAGCCAGTCAATTAACTAGATAAATACACAAGGGAATTGAATAAAAGAGCGTCCCTACCAGCCCGCCACGGGCATGATAGAGCGGTGTCGCATAACAAAGGGAATCAATCCAAAGTGGTATATCGCAAAAATAAAATCAAAGCATATCAATTTTCAAGGCGTGTCATTTATTTCGGGGGGTACGCCATAGCCGCAGGAGCCTCGTACCCAGTCGCAGCCTGGAAGCGGCTAGCCTGGGCGTCGAGTTCCTTCTCCTGCTGCACGAGGGAGCAGCAGGGGCAGCAGCAGGAAAGGATGCAGTCTTCGCCGACTGAGCCCTTGATTCCGAACTTCTCGCGCAGGTCGCGGCGCTTCATCATCGCGAGGACCCAGTTGAGACCGCAATAACTGGCGAGGACGAAGAGGCAGCACTACTCGGTGTTTAGTACTAGATATGCTGGTACGAATTATGGATAACATACGTCTCCGTTAAGATAGGAACCTTCCTTGAGCGAGGGGTCTTCAAGGCGCTCAGAGATTCGACCGTACAAGAAACATGAGCAGCACCAGCCAATCATGCCTAGAAGAGAGGAGAAGTGTTAGGACTTGTAGAGAATCGTAGAAAAGGACCAGAGTGCTCACATGTTTTGGCAGGGCTGCAGCAGTCCCAGATAGAGTTGTTCCACTCGTTCGACATTTTGGCGATGGGGCTGAATATGGATGAGCGTTGATAAGAAGGGATGATCGAATTGAACAGAAGAAATCGAAACAGAAAGGAAGACTCGGACAGGAAGGGGGAAGGAGGATTTAAGGCAAACGGCCCTCAATGATCATCGCACGGCTCGCAAACACAAACATCGCGTCTCTCCAATGGCAGACAGGACATCGGAGACGTGCAGAGAAACCCACCAAAGCCAAGCGTGAGGCAATGAAAAAAAAACACGAGACCCTGAAGACTAGGGCAGGATTTTGGGTGAGGCTGAAAGCAAACACGAACGGACTGATTAGGATAGACAAGGGTTTTGCTTGGAGAAGCGATAGCTTCATGCCATGGCTCGTATTAGGGAATATGGTGGACGAATCTTCAACGCGGCTGGTCCATTCAGGGCGATCGACGTCTGAATACGAGCATCGGTCTTTTTTTATCCTTTTTTCACTCTTTTTTGTGGAGGAACGGGACGATCAAGGTTTCCGAGAGTGAGAATGTGGCAGCAAACAAAGCGAGTGCATGGAAGGAAGTTGCACAGCGAGTCGACCGATTGAGAAGGAGCCAACGGTCGACCGCGCCTTCTTTAAACAGCAACTCCCAGTTGGACTCTTGACCCTTCACTTCCAAGACTCTTGTCGTTTCTTACTGAAAGAAACTGATCATGCCCATGGTCACTTCGGGCGCCCAGTTGAGGCTAGATGATGGATCCGTTGACGGTCGAGCATATCTAGTTATCTCCAACACTACCCATGCAGCCTTTTAGCAGATCACCGTTTGAGCGTCAACTTGCTCAAATGCGGGGTCAACTGTCTGTGCCAGATTTCGATCCAATTCAATCGAAAACGGACAAGCATCACACATGCCATCGCCACCTGTCAAGGACTCAAGGCCCATGACGCTTTGGGGCTGCCGTACCCTGGATGGGTTGCTCGAAACTTGACGTCAAACTGACCCAACAATTTATAACACTAACACAACAGAGCTCTCGATTTTAGTTTTATTTGCGAAAATGGACGCGAAAATGTCTTCGGCCAGGTCACCAGTACTCGAAAAATGAAGTACGACTACTGCCATCTCCCGAATGGCATTGAAGTGGGCGTGACTCCGGTCTTTGGGGGCTTCAAGTTCCAGGCAAAATCCCACGAGGAGTATTGCTCCTTCCCACCAGAATGGACCGTCTGTCTATCGACAAAGAAAGGACCCGACTGTAATTTTGAAGACGCCAACGAGTCCGACTCGCGCCCATTCACCGTCCCCTCCCTGGACTGCGACGCGCTATACCTATCCTCGTTATCGTTACCTTCCTGTAAGGACCTGAAGCCGAGCAGCGCACCCACAAGGTTGGTTGCAATGGTCTTATGGGTCACCTTCTTTTGGTATTTTCAGGAACCAGATCCTACGTCGCCCAAACAGGACCCGAATAGTACCTTTAATGCAGGTCCGAGCTCAAAGGAATGGCTCCTGCACATCCAACGCCTCGGAATCCTATCCCGAAAAGACCAAATGATGAAGGTCGAGCGCTTAGGGATGGTCGCCTGCAGGGACACCTCGGTGAACTCCAAATCAGATATGTTCATCACCCAGAAGGCCTTCTGGCAGCTGGATCCCCGGATTCATCTCTTCAGCATCAGCTCCGTCATGCCAGAACCGGGCCAGGTCTACCCTGGGCCCTCCGGCTCTCTCGACTCTCTGGGAGTAGGCTTTCCTTTCGGCGCTGGTCCCCTTACGGCCGGTACCTTCCTTCCCCCCTACTACCCTCCACAACCTCTGGAGTATATCTACACAGGACACATCCGCCACCCACGCCGCCCGAAGGCATATATCCAAGGCGAAGTCTTCTATGTCCGCTGGATCCCCAGTGGGGGAGAGTTTCTAACCTTCCGGGTCCCTGTCCTCCCGACGACAAATGCCCTCAACAAAAATCCGCCAATATCAAGCGAGCGGAGCAACCCGGGTCCAAACCTCTGCCTGGACTCTGAACTCTCCAATGACCTCAAGCTCGTCTATGACTGGGTCCAAAAGCGACCGCCGGATACAGCGCTCGTGCGTCGCAAATCAATCGTCGAGCAGTCTAGCTTTCTCGAGGAGCGCATGTGCTCCCAGAACTCCTTCCCAGTGCTAGTATGTTGGGACTCAATTCCAATGGGGTACTTTGAGTTATTCTGGGTTTTGGAAGATCCTATTAGTCGTTTTATCGACCACACGGACGATTTTGATCGTGGAGTGAGGTGTTTTATTGGAGAGGAGGCTTTTTTGGAGCCGATGCACTTGAAACGGTGCATGAGTTCGCTGGTCCATCATTGCTGGCTTTACGATCTGAGGACAAATACGGTTGTGGTTGAGTGTAGGGCTGATAATGTTGAGTATGTCTTTTTTTCTTTCCATCATTTTCTTTTTTGTTGGCATTGGTGCTAACTTATTGAAGTGTTATTTTTGCTCTGGAGTCTATTGGATTCAATAGACTCAAGGACGTCAAGACTCCTGATCAACATCATACGATAATGACGATTGACCGCGGTAGGTGGGTAGCGCCAGTGCTATAATATATTGAAGGCAGGGCGCAATGTCCTAGGTATCTGGTGATATCAACATCCGAAGCAGACACCAGTCAAACGAGGTCTGAACCTAAAATATTATTTCAAGAGAGTAGCAAGAACTGCTACGTAGTAATACCTGCAAATATTCTAATCGTACCATAAAGCCGGCCTTTTTCTTATATATATATATCATATGTCTACCTTTCTGGTATTTATAACTTTGTAGGCGTCCTGAGTGAGCCTGACGCATTGAGCACAGTTTAGCCCTAATCACATGATTGTTCGGCCAACATATAGAAGTGTTTCAAAGAACGGACAGAACTTAGCAAGACCTAAGAGACGGAATCAAATAATATAACGTGGAAATAGAAAAGGGGCTAAGGGGTTTTTATCTAGAGTTACTCTCGAAACGTGCATCTTCAATGTGTAGATAAATATATATAAATGAAAGGATTAGGTTTGCATGACTGAGCATTGAACCAACTGGTCAGAAGCTAGTATATAACTTCAAAAATTCGCAATATTCCTTATTCAATGCTACCAGGACGATAACAAGACAGAATTGTAAACATTGAGCTCTCCATTTCTAGTGGACCCCCAGTATACCTTCCGGAAAGGGAACTCATGTCATGTGATACATATGCTTTGATTACATAACATGCAGCGGGGAGCCAGATCACGGAAGAACAATGTTCCCGGCGGGATCTTTTTGGGAGCTCAAAAATTCCCCGAAATAAGTCTCGCTCTGATTACAGTTCCTGAAGGCCTGGTTTTCAATTATTAGCCATGGGCAAGCGCGATAAGAAGAAGGTTAGTTGATGTGCACTCCAATTGATCTGTTTCAAGTGTTGATGTTTTGCTGCAGTTCAACAAGGGTGGTAAAGGTGGCGGCGGCCAGCGTCAAAACTGGCAGGACCTGCCAAGGGCCAACGCGAAGCTCGAGAATTACTACAATGCGCAAGCGTTTATTCCTGAGGAGGAGCGGGAGATCTTCTGGGAAACCATGAGGAAGGATCTTCCTAACAGCTTCCGTTTTACGGGTTCGAAGGGGTATACATATTCTTTCGCATCCAAGATTGGGTCCGGCGCTAACTAGTTTTTTTTTTCTGCTTTGAAGCCATGCGCTTTCTGTCCAGGAACGATTGAAGGACTTCTATATCCCCGAAATTACTGCCGTTCAGTATGAGGGTAACAACGTCGAACCCCCTCGCCCGGTGGAGTGGTATCCTGAAGGCCTTGCTTGGTCGATGACTACCCCCAAGCAGGTCATCCGCCGCTTTGCGCCGTTCGCCTCGTTCCAGAAGTTCCTCGTTGCCGAGACCGATGTGGGAAATATTAGCAGGCAGGAGGTCGTTAGTATGATTCCTCCGCTTCTCATGGACCTGCGTCCTGGTATGACGGTCTTGGACATGTGCGCTGCCCCCGGTAGCAAATCTGCGCAGCTCATGGAGATGGTCCACGCCGGTGAGGAGGATGCGATGACCGAGGTTTCTAAGCAAGTCAGGGAAGGTACCGTGGGACCGGAGCCTGCTGGACCAGAGGGGCTTGACGATGATGGCCGGACGACTGGCTTGCTCATTGCCAATGACAGCGACCACAAGCGTGCGCACATGTTGATTCACCAGATGAAGCGCCTTAGCTCCCCTAACCTTATTGTCACGAACCACGACGCCACGATGTACCCCTCTATTAGACTTCCGCCTAAGCCTAGCGCCGACGGAAAGACCTCCCCGAACCGGTACCTCAAGTTTGACCGCATTCTTGCAGACGTGCCCTGCACTGGTGATGGAACGGCAAGAAAGAACTATGGTGTTTGGAAGGATTGGACTCCTATGAATGCTGTCGGTCTGCATGCTACCCAAGTTCGGATTCTTGTACGTGCTCTACAGATGCTGAAGGTCGGTGGCCGCGTGGTATACTCTACATGCAGTATGAACCCGATTGAAAACGAGGCCGTTATCTCGAGTGCCATTGAGCGCTGCGGTGGTATGGAGAAGGTCCAAATCATCGATTGCAGCAATGAGCTCCCCAAGCTAAAGAGAGTTCCTGGATTGAAGTCATGGAAGGTGATGGACCGCGAGAGCCGTCTGTGGAACAACTGGGGAGAGATCGAGGAGAAGAGGGCAGAATCAGGCATTGCAGGTCTTGGTAGAATCGCTGAGGGCATGTTCCCACCATCCAGCGAGATGCCACTCGACAGATGTATGCGCATCTATCCTCACCTGCAGAACACTGGTGGTTTCTTCATCACAGTCCTAGAGAAGCAGTCCGAGATCCGCGCCAAGCCAGAGGACTCGTCCAAGGTGATCCCCAAGGGTACCGTGGCTGCTCTTACCGAGGAACTCGAGGCCAAGCAGAAGAACGGAACTGGAGAGCCTCTCGAGAAGATAGACGCTCTCGACGACCTTGTGCCCCACGACAAGGAGGCCGACTTGGAGAAGGAAAAGAATGCATCAGTCGCTGAAGCTACCCACCAAATACCGTACTCTGCTTCCGACCAGTTTTCTTCTGTTAAGAGGAGTGCCGACGGCCTAGAAGAATCACTTCCCGCGAAGAAGACAAAGCTCGACGACGGCACCGAAGTTGTAATGGGAGACCGCCCTATCCACCAACCCCCACCTGTCCAGGAGGTCGAGGCCACAGAAACCTCCGATGCCATCCCCACTCCTGGACCCTCAGATACGCCGCAGGTATCGTCAGCACCGGAAACTCAACCTAAGCCCCTCCAGAAGCGGAAACCCGGTCAGCCCATTGAGGAGCCCTTCAGATACCTGGATCCAAACCACCCAGAACTCCTCCCGATCTTCAAGTTCTTCGAGATTTCAGACCGCTTCCCTCGTGATCGATTCATGGTCCGCAATGTTGAGGCGAACCCCTCAAGAACGGTCTACTACACCAGCGCTCTTGCTCGGGACATCCTAGTCGCCAACCAGGGCCACGGCATCAAGTTTGTCCACTGCGGTGTCAAGATGTTCGTGAAACAGGATGCGCAGCGTCTTGATGTGTGCCGGTGGCGCATCCAGACTGACGGTCTGCGAATGGTCGAGCCCTGGCTCGGCCCCTCTAGGGCAGTTACTCTGACCCAGAAGGAGACCTTCCGGAAGCTCCTTGTGGAGATGTTCCCCAAGGTCGACGGCGGAGGCTGGCAGAACCTCGGAGAGATTGGTGAGCGCGTGAGGGACATCCCTATGGGATGTAGTATCATCTACATCGACCCGCAAGGGGATGACAAATTCAGGTATGTCTCGTAAATGTCTCATTTAGTATTTGACTGACTTTTCTAACTTGCACAGTGAACGAATGGTTCTCCCACTCTGGCGATCTCTTCACTCCGTCAACCTCATGCTTCCGAAGGAAGATCGCCGTGCGTTGCTTCTTCGGCTCTTCAACGACACTACCCCGGTAATGAACACGACGCAGAAGCGCACGGAGGCCGAGGCCGAGGCCAAGGACTCTGATGCTGCTGTAGAAGCTATCGCAACAGAGGAAGAGGCAATCAAGGAAGAGAACGCCGCCGTTGGCGAGGATGAGCAGGAGCAGATGGATACGCGGGAAACATACACGCAGGCGAACGAGGAAGAGGATCGCTTCAACACTACTGTATAATTTTCTTTTGGGCTAGCATATACCGAACAAAAGCTTACGATTTCTGATACTGGATGATTGCAAGTAGATATGTAGCCTGAGGCTGAAAGGGAGTCTCTGTATCTTCTTATAGAAGGCACGATTAAGCATCGCTCCTTCCCCATCGGATGGCCGAGCCTGAGGTGTCGATATTGCCCTCGAAAGACGGAGAGGAACTCCGCCTATTCGGCGCCGGAGTTGTATGATGTTTGCATAAGTACTGGGACAGTGCGTGCTCCGGAGAGCTCGGATAATAGAGCTGCTTTAACGAGGGCCCCGGTATTAATCGCCCAACCGGATAATTAGGAGCTGGCGAATTTACATCCCTGTCAACACATTCCGCAACTTTGAAACTCACGTTGTGATCTTTGTTCAGCCTGGAGGAAATGGGACACCACCGAAAGGAAGATAGTATGCTGCTTGTTGAGCCTGGATATTGAATAACTGCTGGTGGCCAGTTTCAAGTGAGGATATCTTGACAGGAATGTTGATGATGAAGGGCTGAGATGCGGAGAAATTCCCCCGCGATCGACTGATCTCATCTCCACCTCCCTTGTCTTTCCAGGCTTGAGAACAATTTAACGAGATGAAGCACTCCAAATTGCCATTGGACGCGAATCCATCTTCTCCCGTCTCGACTACGATTACTATTACTAGTCTTGCATCATTGGGACCGGGTGTCCGCGCGCAATTAATCACCTTGAGGGGGGACGCGGGGGTCAAAGAAATAAACGATAAATAGGCCATTGCTTTCCCCCCTGGAAATTAGTCCTCTGGTGTCTATCAGCTAAGGCATTTCATCACCATGAGGCTGTTTTCCGTCGGTGCTGCTGCCTTGCTAGCAGCTCAGGCCTTCGGTGCTTCTCTTACGCATAAGCTCAATGGCTTCACGATCACCGAGCATCCGGATCCTGAGAAGCGCGATCTTTTGCAAAAACATGTATGCATGAGCTGTCTTTTGTCCCAGCATGGCTTGATTTGGCGACTGATTGATTGGACAGGTTACCTGGGATGATAAGTCCATCTTCGTCAACGGCGAGAGGGTCATGCTCTTTTCCGCGGAGATACATCCATGGAGGTATTTATCCTTTTCAAGTTTTACTGTATTATTTTGATTGAGTGCATGTGCTGATCCCAGAAGACTCCCAGTACCCTCGCTGTGGAAGGACATCCTGCAAAAAGTCAAAGCTCTCGGCTTCAACTGCGTCTCGATCTACGTCGACTGGTCCCTACTTGAAGGAAAGCCGGGCGAGTACCGGGCGGAAGGCGTCTTCGCCTGGGAGCCGTTCTTTGATGTCGCTGCTGAGCTGGGCATTTACCTGATTACTCGCCCGGGTCCATACATCAACGCAGAGGCTTCTGGCGGTGGGTTTCCAGGCTGGCTGCAGAGAGTCAATGGAACACTCCGGTCGCCGGATAAAAGCTTTTTGGACGCCACTGAGAAGTAAGTCATCTTGGGTTTTACAGTCTGTTTGTTTACTCACCTAATAATGTCAGTTATATATCTCACATCGGCGCGCTTATTGCCAAGTACCAGATCACCAATGGCGGACCCGTGATCCTCTACCAGCCTGAAAACGAATATAGCGGTGCCTGCTGCGGGGCGGAATTCCCCGACGCCGATTACTTCCAGTATGCCATCGATCAGGCTCGCAGGGCGGGGATCGTAGTGCCGACAATTAGCAATGATGCTTACCCGGGTGGCCACAATGCCCCGGGAACTGGAAAGGGGGAGGTTGACATTTACGGACATGATAACTATCCGTAAGCCATGCCTGATGCTCATGTTGGAGTGCTATTGAACTAATTGTTAATAGGCTCGGGTTTGACTGCGTATGTATATCGCCAGGAAAGAAGTAACCAACTAACGAACACAGTCGAACCCTGATATATGGCCCGAGGGAAATCTGCCAACCGACTACCGCGACTTGCATCTTCAGATGAGCCCGTCGACGCCATACTCGCTTGTCGAGGTGAGATTTGCTCTCTCTTAAACGAAAAAAGACTCTAACGACCGCAGTTCCAAGCGGGTGCATTCGATCCATGGGGTGGTCCTGGATTCGAGAAATGCGCTGCCTTGGTAAACCACGAGTTTGAAAGAGTATTCTACAAGAATACCTTTAGTTTTGGAGTCGGCATTCTTTCACTGTATATGGTGAGTTAGAATTTTCCACGTATACAAGGCTCAATTGACAATGAAGACCTTTGGCGGAACCAACTGGGGCAACCTGGGCCATCCAGGAGGATACTCCTCTTATGACTACGGGTCACCAATCACCGAGACGCGAGAAATCAATCGTGAAAAGTACAGTGAGCTGAAACTGCTCGGAAACTTTATCAAATCGTCCCCATCATATCTCCTAGCGACGCCAGGTAACTTGACCAACACGACATACACCAACACAGCCGCTTTAACTGTGACACCATTGATTGGAAACGACACGGGTTCGTTCTTCGTGCTTCGTCACAGCGACTACAGTAGTCAGGAGTCTACCTCCTATAAGCTCCGACTCCCAACTAGTGCTGGCCATGTCACAGTTCCTCAGCTCGGCGGTTCGTTGGTACTTAACGGGCGTGACTCAAAGGTCCATGTTACTGATTATGATGTTGCTGGGACTAATATCCTCTATTCCACTGCTGAAGTTTTCACGTGGAAGGAGTTCCATGACGGCAAGGTCCTTGTGCTGTACGGTGGCTCTGGCGAGCATCATGAATTGGCTATCTCGACCAACGCAACCGTGAAAGCTGTTGAGGGACCCCAGTCGGGAATTTCTTCTAAGCAACTCCGCAACGCTGTGGTGGTTTCTTGGGATGTTGAGCCTGGCAGACGTATCATTCAGATCGGCGACCTGAAAATAATTCTTCTTGGTATGCTTCCCAGATAGTCTTTTTTACAGATACTGACAGTATAGATCGGAACTCTGCGTACAATTACTGGGTGCCTCAGCTTGGTACTGAGACCAGCATTCCTTATGGCACGGAAAAGGCGATTGCTGCATCCATCATCGTTAAAGCCGGGTACCTCATTCGCAATGCTTTTGTTAAGGACCATGGTCTGCACCTCATTGCCGACTTCAATGCCACCACACCTATCGAGGTAATTGGTGCCCCGCGAACAGCAAAGGCCCTCTTCATCAACGGCAAGGAAACGCAGCACACCATCGACAAGAACGGTATCTGGAAGACAGAGATTGAATACTCAGCTCCCGAGATAGCTCTCCCCAGCCTCGAGAACTTGGACTGGCAATATCTCGACACCCTCCCAGAAGTCCAAGCGGACTACGACGACTCCGCCTGGCCAGACGCAGACCTGCCCACCAAAAATTCAATCTACCCTCTCAAGACCCCGACATCCCTCTACGCAAGCGACTACGGCTTTCACACCGGATACCTTCTCTTCCGTGGCCACTTCACCGCAAATGGTAAGGAGAGCAACTTCTCCATCCAAACTCAGGGCGGACAGGCTTTTGGTTCCTCCGTCTGGCTCAGCGGGACATACCTAGGTTCCTGGACTGGCAATAACGATTACCAAGACAACAATGCAACATACACCCTGCCATCTTCCTTGACTCCCGGGAAGGAGTACGTCTTCACAGTTGTGGTCGACAACATGGGCCTAAACGAGAACTGGATCGTCGGCGAGGACGAGATGAAGAAGCCTCGTGGAATCCTGAACTACAAACTCTCAGGCCACAACGCCAGCGCGATCACCTGGAAATTAACCGGGAATCTCGGAGGCGAGGACTACGCCGATAAATGGCGCGGCCCGTTGAACGAGGGCGGGCTCTACGTTGAACGGCATGGATTCCATCAGCCCTACCCTCCTTCCGACTCACACTCGCACACCCAGAAATGGAAATCAGCGTCCCCGCTTGATGGACTGAAAGATGCCGGAATCGGATTCTACACTGCTTCATTTGACCTCGATGTTCCGCGCGGCTGGGATGTGCCGATTTTCTTTAATTTTGCGAACAGCACGACCCCGGCACCGGCGTATAGAGTGCAGCTGTATGTGAACGGGTGGCAATACGGCAAGTATGTGAATAATATTGGCCCGCAGACAAGGTTCCCTGTCCCAGAGGGAATCTTGAATTACCAGGGAACGAACTGGATTGCGGTGACCCTGTGGGCGCAGGAGAGTGAGGGCGCGAGGCTGGAGAGCTTCGAATTGAGCCATGGACAGCCGGTGAGGACGACGTTGGATGTTGACTTGGTGGAACTGGAAAAATATCGTCCAAGAAAGGGGGCTTACTAAATAGGCTTACTGTATTTATTTACGTCTTGGATTTATGAGACATAATAAAGAACGGATATGTGTTGGTGTTGTGGTTTGTAGATTATGCGATGACGGCGTGCAGCCAGCGGTGCAGGGGTCCATCCCAGCCACCGAATAAAACAACAGAAAACCACCACGACCGCAGAAATCCAACCTCTCCCCCAAATTAATCTGGACTTCGCTCAAATGCCTGAATTCCAATAATCCCGACCGAAAAAAATATCCGAAAAACCATGCGCCATTCTCACTCTACACCTCCATAACGTGCCAAAGCAACAAAACAAGCCCTAACTTATTTACTCTCCCAAACACCGGACTCCACCACCAAGAATGCCGCCTCCACCACTCAATCTGAACCTCAACCGCGACCCTCCTCCTCCCTCCGACTCTATTACCAGTAACCTCAACTTCAACACTAATATCGACACCGACACCGACACCGACACCATCATCCCCCCTCAAATCAAACCCCGCGCCGACAACACCGAAACAGCCACCCACATCACCCACAACTCCATCTCCATCCCCTCCACCTACGGCCGCACCTCCAACCCGCCCAACCCAGGCGTAATCGTCGGCGCAACCCTCGGCGCCGTCGCCGGCTTCCTCCTCATCCTATACCTGCTCTATCTCGGGCTCACATCGGGACGACGCTTCAGCGCCTCCACAATCGGCGGTACATCGACGACGGCGTCTGAGATCGTGGACGTGGGGATCCGCAACCGCAACCGCGGGCCGCGCTATGGATACGGCGGCGGTCGTCGGCACAGGGGTGACGAGGTTATTGTTGAGGAGAGTTTGACGAGTCGGTCGCGGACGGATGGGGGTGGGGTTGTCGAGGTTGTGGAGGAGGAGAGCGTGATTGATCCGCCGCCGAGTTCGAGGTATCGGTCTAGGAGTCGGAGTAGTAGGAGTTCGTCGAGGACAAGGAGTGATCGGTATCGAAGGCATAGAGGGGGAGGGGTGAGGGAGATAGATCCGATGGCTTATGGTGGGGGGAGCGAGTTCAGTGAACGGTCTTGATTTTGATTTCTTATTGGATGGATGCATTGATTTTCCTCTATACAAGGCTTGACGAGTTTTATACTTTTTTTTTTTTTGATGTTAGGATGATACCATTACGATGATTGTTAATGATAATGAGATGAAACATAGTACGCTCCAATTACGAGCCCTACTTGCCGACCTAATAGGTAGAGTAGTGTAGTCTTCAGACAGAAGAACACAAAGGATATCGATATTAATGAGTCAGTCAGTCAGCAAACAGACTGAAAATCCAGCAAAAGAACCATGATTCATGCCCAGTAAAATCCCAAGTCATGCGCCGAACAAGACCGAAGAACAAAAGGAACTTGAAAGCAGCGAGCGAAAAGACAGACTCAAAAGACAGACTCCGCAAGGGATGCGTGAAGCAGACAAAAAAAAAAAAAAAGGAAAGGAAAGCACGCGACACAAAACCCCCGATTTCACAATTTCACAACCTTATCGTAAAGATGCGACTCGCGCCTGCATCTAGAACAGGATATCCAAACAGCAGCAGCAGGCCATAGCCGCTAGAATACCAGCACAGATACCCCCGCCGGATCCGCCGCCACGGCCGCGCTCTTCAGGATAATACCCCGGCTGTTGCGGTGGGTAGCCCTGCTGAGGGGGATAGTACATGGGTTGTTGCTGCGGCGGGTATCCGCCTTGTTGAGGGTATCCATATCCTTGTGGGGGAGGAGAGCCATAGCCTTGCGGTGGAGGAGAACCACCGTAGTAGTCGTGCGAAGCGCCGGGCGGAGGAGTGGGCTGGCCGTAGGGGTCGTGGACCGGGGCAGGGTAGGAAGGAGGCGGACCGTCCTGGATGGATATTAGCCGGATGGTTAGATATAGTTCCCAAGGTGGAGACGTACCGGCTTATTGTAGGACATTTTGGGAGACGTTTAGGGGAGCGTGGAGGGTTGTAGGTGGTGAGTGATGTGATGGAGAAGGTTGAGAAATTGTTGGGAGGCGGCGCAAGGAGGTGAGACTAGACGCGGAGGTTGGAATTCCGGGTTCTTTCTAGCGGGCACTGCTATCGTATCCCGAGACTTGGATGGAGCGAAGGAATGAAGCAGAACCCTCAATTTCTTGTATGCTAGTATGCTACAGACAAAAATGCAGAGACAGAAAGATTCTGGAGAAGAGGGGAAGACGGAGGAAGAGCGAAGGAGCCGAGATGCCAGCGCTTAAAAAAAGTCCCAAAATGCGCAATCCGGACTTGCACTTGGCGCCACGGTCCGGTCTAGGCAGCGCTATTCACTTGGTCCATAGTCGCCATCCACCGATAATAATATATTCACTTTCAACTGAGCCTCGGTGGTATTACTGCGCCGCTTACGAGTCCGACAGCCAGCATGGTGGCTATTCGCCAGTCGGAGCGCCTCTTTTGCTGCACAGCCACTGCAGGTGGCTAGTCACATGGCCCTGCAGCGTGGAGTCTTGGCCCTCGGCGTTAATGAATTAACTGCGAGAACAAAGATAGATGTCTGGACAATCGCTTCTTGCTTTCCAACTCAGATCAATACGTACAATTCGCTCAAAGTCCTGCTTCTCCGCACGCTTTCAAGGAGAGAGAGGGGAGTTCAATTACATGGAGGAATATAATAACAAAGAACCAATTGCTTGACGGAGCGTCATCGTCAACAAAAAGAAAAAAAAAGGAGATAAAGAAACCCGGTATAAAAATGAGGTGCTGAGAGGTGTATAGGTCGGTGATGAGCGTGTGAAGATGGATAGTGGCAATGCTAGATGCAAAGTTTTTGGAGGATCCCTCATGCTGTCAAGTGCAACGTGCAACGCTATGCAGGATTTATACTATAGACAACTGTTTAAGCTTTCTCCTCCAGGGAGGCCTTCTGAAGGTCGTCGGCCGTCTCTGCAGCCGCGTCCTTCTCGTCGGTCTTGCCGTTGGTCTCGGTGGCAGCGCTCTCTTCCGCATCGAGGCGGGCAATCTCTTCCTTGGCCTTGTTGATGTTCTACATAAATTAGCATAAGCCTCAAATATATGATAGTAATCTCAAGTATATGATAGTAGGTCATACCTCGGTGGTCTTAGAGGCCTGATCCTTCTTCCATTCGGTGATCTTGGCCGCAAGCTTCTCAACCACAGCCGGGACGTCCGACTGGTTCATAGGAGGATCGATCTTGACCTTGGCAAAGTCCTCAATGATACCAACGTTCATGTTGAATTTGGTCTCCGTAGGCGTGGCAGCAGCAGGGGTGCCATTGGCGCTGCCCTTCTTACCCTTCTTGCCCTTCTTTCCACCGGTGCCGACAAAGTATTCGTCCTCGTCCTTCTTCAGCACCTTCATGCCCTTGATGCCAGAGTCATCGACCTTACGGCCAACCTCGGCGCGGAAAGCAGGGGATTCCTCCTTCTTTTCGGTGAGACCAAGTGGGGCGAAGTCGTAAGACGGGTTGAAGTGACGGATGAGACCCTGGGCGACCAGGATCTCATCGGTGTAAGCAAGGCGAGAGGCCTCTTCCAGCTTCTTGTCGGCAACCTTGCGCTTCTTCTCGCGGTCGAAAGCCTCACGCTGAGCCTTTTGCTTCTCCCGGCGGATTTTCCAGGCCTCGTCCTCGTACTCCTTGTAGGCCTTGCGGGCCTTGTAGTAGTTGTCCTTGACCTCACGGATGGCAGCCCACTTGGTCTGCTGCTCACTGTGGAGCTTGGTGCGCTCGTCACGCAGCGCATTCAGGTTCTTGAAAACACCATCCTGCTCCGCCTTGATCGCATCGAGCTCCTTCTGGATCTCCGTGTACTTGTCGCTCAGAGCCTTGGCCTCGGGGTTGTCGAGGGTCTTCTTGAGGGTAGCAATCTGGGCCTTGAGGTCGTTGATCACCTTCTGCGCATCGTCGAGGCTGGCGAAGTTCTTGCGCTGCTTGCGCATGCTGGAGATGTCGGCGAGGATCTTCTTCTCATCCACCAGGCGGAGGGTACCAGAGTCGACCTGCTTCTCGAGGCGGGAAATTTCACGGTCCATCTCCTCGACGTTCTTGAAGGACATGCGGGTGCGGGAGTTGTTCTGCTCCGCAATGCGGGCCTTGAGTGTCGAATCGATGGCATTAATCTTCTCCTGGGTGCTCGTCCTTGAGGCCTTGAATCCCTGCTGCTTCTGGCGAATGGAGGACAGCTCAGCGCGAAGCTCCTGCTGTTTCTTTGCGGTGGGCGAGTCCTGGTTGTTGGGCTTGGCGGTCTCGATCTTGGCCTTGACTTGGTTCTGATATAATTAGCATCTGAAACAAACCCGACAAGTGAAACCGAGCGAGAAAATATCCCAATTGAGGGTATAGGTAACCAAGTATAGGCACCCACGTGACAGGGACCAATGGGCATTGTGTGACTGGGAAGAACAATTGGATTCAAAAGGGCGCATACCAGTTTCTCCTGAACAGCAGAGTGTTCCTTCTCAGCCTGGGCGAGATTGGACTTGTACGTGTCCTCATCAGGCCGAGTAGGCCTCACCTTGGGCTCAGAGGCCACCTCGGACTTGACCGCAGCGGCCATTGTTGGGCGGGGAAAGGCGAGGGACGAGAGAGCGGACTCGAGGGAAAATTGGGAAGAGCACAAAAAACCCCGAGAAAAAACCCAGAGGCAGAGGAGAATGGAAAAGAGAGAAATCAAACAGTTCAAAGAGAGGACGGGGGGAGAGAGAACCGGACAGTACAGTGTGGAATTGAATCTTTCTGGCCTTTTGCGTTCTGGCGCATTCTTTTGATTGGCGGCGCTTACCGTTGGCGCTCTTAGCGCTGTCAGCCGATTTTTCGACTCCCTCACTTGCTTTCGAGATTCATTCACCGACCCCCGGCTTCTTTTCCCTCACCCACAACTCACTCGCTCTCTCGTTCTTTCATTCGCATCGTCCACCTTCATCTCCGCGGCCATGGACGAAGATTACACTAATATCGGCTCTGAGGAGGGCGACCGCGAGACCACCCGAGTCTGGCGCACTTGGCGAACAGTCTTTGAGATGCTGCGGGACCGCGTACGTTCTTGTTCTCGTCCATCCAGTCGCTTGAGTGCGGTCGCAATCGTCTAACATTAGATTTGTGTGTAGGGCTACGAAGTTACGGACGAAGAAGTGCAAATCAAGCTCGACGAATTCAAACAGAAATACGTGGACGAGAAAGGATATCCCAGGTCCGCACACTTTTAACTACCCACATTCGCAAGGGTTATCTAACAAGACGCAAACAGCCGCGAGAAGCTAAAGATCCAAGCCCGCCCGACCGAAGCCATGAAGGCGAAATACACGCCCCTCCCCACACCCTCCAACCGCGAGCCCCAAGCGGACTGTGGCACAATCTACATCGAATTCTGCCCGGATGACAGCGGTATCGGTACCAAGCAAGTGCGTTCTTTCAACCACACGGTCGATGAGGGCAACTTCCACACGGGCATTTTCATCACCAAAACGCCCATTTCCCCCTCCGCTGTCCGTCTGCTCAGCGGCATCCCCGGCCGCATCTGCGAGCATTTCCAGGAACAGGATCTTCTGGTTAACATCACACGGCACGAGCTTGTCCCGAAACACGTTCTTTTGAGCCCAGAGGAAAAGGGCCGTCTGCTGCAGCGGTACCGCCTGAAGGAGTCGCAGCTGCCGAGAATGCAGGTGTCAGATCCCGTCGCTAGGTATTTGGGATTGAGGCGCGGACAGGTTGTGAAGATCATCCGGCGGAGTGAGACTGCAGGGCGTTATGCAAGTTACCGATGGGTTATTTAAGTTCGGTTTCGGAAGTGGATCATGGTCTAGATTCCAACTTTATGGCTTGCGACCAACCACGAAGAGACTGGCCTGCAAGACGCACCGAATCAGCTGGTGGAATAATCAATCCTCACGAGTCGAGAGGGGAGGAAAGAAAGAAGGAAAAGAAAATAGGCATTGGGCAGCATGGCGTAACGGCGAAAGAAATTTCAGGACGGTGTTATATCCTTGTTCTTTGGTGTACGATTTAGTACTGGTTAATATTGACCAAACAAGCAAAAAAACTGTACAATTTATTTAATAGAGCATGCAGAACGTCTACCACGGACTCTTCCAGGTCTAATATCTAACAGAACGTAATCACACTTTATCCACCCACTTCTCCCTCGTCAGCCTACTCTTACTCGTCGCCAACTGCCCAACAGACGTCACAGTCGCACTCCCCAAGATATCAAACACCGCAATATCAGCCTGCATCTCCTTCGCAAACCAGCTGCGCAGCTCCACCGCAACAAGCGAGTCAACTCCATACTGGTGCAGCGGCTTATTCGCGTCAAGCTCAGGCATAGGAATCGACAGCGCCTTGGACAGCCGCGCCAGCAAAGCCTGGATAACAGCCTCATGCGCCTCGGTGACCGTCTGTGCCTGGCCAAGCAGCACAGCGACATTGGTCGTCCCCTCCGCACTGACAGCGTTACTTCCACTAGATTGGTTCTGCTGTCGCAGATTCCGGAACATAGGCTTGTTCAGCCACTCTGTCTCGCCTGCACTGGCATTATTATCGAGATTTGGAGCAATGCGCACGGTCGTCTGGCATGGCATACTACTGGCGTCAAGGCTAGCAGCGCAGTAGACGTCCAGTAGGGCGTGCATTTCCGGCTCGGTAATTGGGGCCAGGACTGACTTTGACAAGACGCGTTCCTGGAGCCGGACATCCTCGACTACGGCCCCTGTGAAGGCGATGAGGCCTAGATCGATCGAGGTGGCTTTTTCTCCTAAGGCGACTCGGTGCGCGGCGAGCGCGTCCTGGAATGTGTTTCCCGCGGCGTAGTTGGCTTGGCCCTTTGAGCCGAATATACCAGTGATAGAGGAGAGCATGATGAAGAAGTCTAGTCCCGAGGGGAGGGATTGGTGCAGGTTCCATGTTCCTTGGACTTTGGGCGCGATGGCTTCGGTCCAGGAGGTGTAGGGCATTGCTTCGAAGAGCGCATCGCGGAGGACCATGGCTGCCTGGATGCATCCTCTGATTGGGGGTAGTTGTTTTTGGGAGTCGGCAAGGGCGGAGTTTAGAGATTCTATGTCTGCGATATTGCAGGATGGTGTGAGGACGCGGACACCGCGATGGCTGAGCTCGTTCACCAGCTCTTGGGACTTAGGGCTTGTGCTGCCAGATCGGGACAGCAGGAGAAGATTGCGAGCGCCGCGGTCGACCAGCCAAAGCGCGATATTCCGTCCTAGACCTCCTAGACCTCCGGATATGATGTACGTGCCCTTTGGATCTAGAGAGGTGCTGGGTCGGGTGTTCAGAACCGTCTGGTAAAGTCAGCATGCACATATACTACAAACGTTGGAGACATACCATCACTTCGTCACCCTCGCGCATCTCAATGACAATCTTCCCAATGTGCTTCCCACTCTGCATAGACCGGAAGGCTCTTTCCATTTCACCAATTCCGTACACCTGCAAATACTGCGCGGGCCGGAGCTTCCCCTGCTCGAGCATCGCATACACAGACGACAACGCAGCAGCACACATCTCAGGCCGATCACCCATCATGGTTGCCAGGTTAATCGCGCTAAAGGAGACATTATGCAGGAACTGCCTCATCGGGAGGGTATCGTTCGCAAGGATATCTTTGATCCCAATCTCCAAAAACCGCCCGTACGGGGCGATACATTCCCAAGAAGCCTTGAGGCTTTCACCAGCCAGAGAGTTGAAGACGGCGTCGACACCACGGCCATTCGTGCGAGACTTAACAGCCTCCGCGAACAATGTTGACCGGCTCGAGAAGATGTGCGTCTCGGGGATACCGTAGGCATCCTGGAGGAACTGTCTCTTCTCGTCAGATCCTACCGTGGCGAAGACAGTGACGCCCATGTTCTGTGCAAGTTGGATAGCAGCCTGTCCTGTTCCTCCAGCGCCGGCATGGATGAGTATAGACTCGCCCGCGCGCATACGCGCAACATCATGCAGGGCAATATAGGCCGTGGCAAAGTTAATAGGGACAGCGGCGGCCTCAGCAAACGAGACCCCAGACCCGATCTTGACCACACCAGCTGTCTCCTTCAGGCGGATGAAGTTCGCAAAGCAACCGCCCTGCAGAGCAGCCACGGAGTCACCGACCTGGAACCTGGAGCAGGCATCTCCGGTGCGAGTTACTATACCCGAACACTCGAACCCGGTGTGAGGCGAGTTCAACTGGCCGACTGCGATTAGGACGTCGCGGAAGTTCACGCCAGCGCATTTGACTGCGATTTCAATCTCGTCGGGTCCCAGCGGCTCCATGGCGATTGGGCTTTCGATGAATTTGAATCCAGGGACTAAACCGGATGAAAGAGCGTCCAGGTGGAGGGGCACGCCAGCGGAATTTAAGGGCTGCATTTTGTGCTGCTTTGGGGTTGTTTGTATAGTAATGCGGCTGTTCAACTGCGTAGACGACATCAACCGGCCGATTTGCAGTAGGCCTTGCTCTTCTCGGTACTCTGTATCCGCGCTTTCTTTACCGGGTGAGAGTAGCAGTTTAATCACCTTGGTGACTTGATCCCTCATGTTGTCTAGACTGGTGTTCTCTTGGAGAGATAGCAAGTGGCAGCTCTTCCGGTCGTCCTCAGACGTCAGTACACGGAGAAGGCCATCAGCAAGGCGCATATGAGGCCGAGGGGAAGCTTTACCACCGGATCCCACCCACAGGACATCGGTGGTGGAACAAAGCAGACGCTGTAGCTTCTCAAAGAGCTCTGGCTTGATATCACTGAGCACTGGCTGTACGAGCTCAAGAAGGAATACTCGCAAGGCAGAGTCGGAACACTCTTGATGCTGGTGAATTGAAGCAAGAACAACATCAGGAAGAGTCAGACTCTCAGCTAACTGTACTTGCTCTGGTGATGAGGGATCATAGACGATTTCAATGCTGCTTGGTTCAGAGTCAGAAGTACTCTCAACTGCAGAGGTGACCAGCACGCTGTTTTCGTAGCAGTTGGCATTGTCGTAGTCTGGCAGGGAGACATCAAGCCCTGAGAAGCCGGTCTGGATGAAGAGTTCGTGCCACTGCTGCGTGTCGACGCAGGGGCCAAATTTTCTATACGACTCCGAGCCTGACGGGTTAGCAGAGAATAGATATTAAAGTAGAAGTAGAGAAGTGGATAGATAGAGCATACTTAACCACCATCCTTCCAAGAGACCAAATACAAAGGCTGTGCGGATGACGTTTGGAGCAGTAATCTCATTCAAAATGAGTTTTCCTCCTCTAGAGGGTGTTAGAATGTATCGGTTTGAGAAATATAAGACTTACGGCTTGAGAAGCTTTCGGGCGTTGATTAGAGTCGTCTTCAAATCAGCCGTAGCATGGAATACTAAAGACGCAACAACAACATCATACGTTCCACATTCAAATCCCTGAGCCTCAGGGTCCTGCTCAATGTTCAGCGTGTTAAATCGCATGCGGTCACCCTCCTGGCGAAACTCGTCTTGGGCGTCCCCGAAGAAGGACCGCGAGATATCAGTATAGTCCCACTGCCCGTATCGACGCTCGTTGGACTCGTCTCCGCGGCCTAGACTGCGAAGCATAATGTCCGTCATAGAGCCTGTACCGGCGCCGACTTCGAGAATGCGCATCTGGGGATTGCGATGCGCGAGGAGGTCGAGGTATGTGCTGAATCGTTTTAGGCCGATTGAGTCGTGGAGCTGGACACGTTAGAAATGAATCAACGGAAGTAAACGGGGTTAAGCCTACCTGTTCGAAATAATAGTCCTTCAACTGCTCGCCCTGGAAGAGGAACCCTAATGGATCGAGCTCGCCTGTGAGGAAGAGAGGCAGGTTGCGTGCCACTGAAACGATCAGATATCCGCGTTTGTTCGTGTTAAGGACTCGCTCTTCGACTTCTCGGATGTAGGCAGGATCATCCAGACGGCTCCTCCATGGCTCAAACGCGAATGGGACCTGATATTCGTCAAAGAGCCGCTTCCTCTCTACCATCCACTCGATATACTGCTTCAAATGCGGTTGGGCAGGCTCGCTGGGAAGCTGGCGCAGTGTTTTCAGAACACGAGCCGTCAAGAGAAAGTCCAATTCAGTGAAAAAGGTGTCTAGTCCGGATTGACTCTGGTCATTCCTGCAGAGGGCAGTAATCTCCTCGTTGCTCAGTAGACCAAGATCAGGCTTCCACTCAAGATGATGGCATCGCTGCCCTTGGGTGGTTATTATCTCGTCTTCATCCCCTGCTGCGCTGACCACATTCATGCGAAGACCAGAGATATGGACCAGCTTCTGCTGCAGCCCTTCATCAAAAGCCACAATGTCGAGTGCCGTACCTAACTGAGGCTCCTCATATCTAGAAGCGTGAGTCCTCAGTACATCCGACGAAAGCTGACCAAGGCCCTCGTGCGAAACCCAGAGTTTTTTGACTTGAGTCGGCACCATTGTAGGGATTTTCTGAGTTCCGGATTGAGTCGTTGTCCATATCGATGTCTGGACAATAGCGTCGAGGGTCGTCGGGTGTATAGTTTCAAAGCCCTCAGTGACTCTGCGCACCTTGCTCGTAACTTGACTCTCGTCTTCACGATGCCACGCCAGCGAAGTCACCAGCTGGAATGTCTCTCCATAATCAAGGCCACACCGAGCCGTCATTTCATAGATGGCCGCATCTTCTACAGGCGTGACTGCTGCATCTTGGACCGCAGTATAGCGATCTACTTGGTCACTCAACAACTCGCGCGCAATCTCCGTGTCTTTCCTGTCCGGCGTCTTTCCCTCCTCCAACGCATACTCAATCTGTATAGACCCAGTGCAGTTCTCAGTCCAGGTCTCGTTGTCGAAGGTGCAGAGCTTGAACGCAAAAGAGCCCGTGTTTTTCGCATCTGCACTCTGCAGAGGACGCATGTAGAACCCTGTTTCAATCCCGTCTGCGTTTGAGGGAACCCGGATAGCAGCTTTGAATGCGGCTTCTTTAATCCAGAAACCGGATATACTCTTTCCGGAGTCTGCAAGTTGCTTTGCGGCTTCTATGGCCATGATTACCATTCCCATTCCGGGGTATAGAACTGTATCATTTACCTGAAACTGTTAGAGTGTAGTTAATGCTAGGTATAGGGCACCTACCTTATGGTCGAGCACCCATGGCATCTCAGTAGATCGGATAAAATGCCGCCAGCGTGCATCCATGGGATTCCAGTTTGGATCAGGGGCGCCGAGAAGGTCATTACGTCCAAACTTCCGCAGACGATGGCCTTTGCTGAGGCGGGACTCGTGCCAGTAGGACTTTGAGTGGTCGAAGGGGTATTCCGGTAGATTCGACAAGGTCTTGGGCTTCTTTCCGGAGGTTATATTCATATTAACCCTGGATAAATCAACTGGATACCCAGATGAATGAAGATTTCCAGCAGCTGTAAGTGCTGTTTCGACGGCGTGCACGTTTCGGACCAGCATTGAGAAATACGAGGTCGACTTGTCCTTGTTCATAGCCTTGAGTGTGTCTTTGCATGCTCCCTGCATTACTGAATGTGGACCGACCTCCAGGAGATGGTGGATAGGGTAGTCCCTGATATGGCTTCTGTCTAGCTTCTTAGGAGGGTCTCCTGAACTTGAGCAAAGCGTTGACAAGGCATTAAGGAATAATACAGGAGACACCATATTGTGAACCCAGTACTCAGGCTGAATCAGTTCCACAGGGTCCGCCCAGGTCCCTGTAACAGAAGAAACCATTTGAGGGCGTGTTTTTTCCTGCCGGTATGGCTTTTCCAAGCTCCCCAGTGCTGTTTGATATTCCGTGGCGATTTCCCCCATCTGCGCTGAATGGTACGCAACTCCTACCTTGAGCTTGCGGGAAAACACCTCTGCCTCGTCAAGGCGGTTCTTTAGAATATCGATTAGGGCTTCGTCTCCTGAGACAGTGACGCTCTTTGTGCTGTTAACGCATGCAACGTTAATCCGCGCATCTTCATGCTCTGTCTTTATATCCTCAAGATATGGAGCAACATCGTCTGATGAGAGGCCAACTGCAATCATGGATCCTTTTCGCAAGCTATGGGTTTCCAGCCCGCTACTTAACTTCCCTCGTAAGTATGCTATCTTCCATGCTGACTCTTTGGAGATAGCTTGGGCAGAGTATCTAATATTATTAGCTGTGCTCAAAAAAATGCTTTAAACGTTAAAAGAAACATACGCAGCAGCAATTTCCCCCGACGAGTGTCCTACAACAGCACGCGGGACTAAATTCCAGCTCCGGAGCAAATCTACCAGTGCTACCTGGAGAGCCGTCGTCATGGTCTGGCTGTATTCTGGCTGTTTGACATGGGACTCGGACTCTGATACCTGTAGTTCGTCTTTTGCATATTAGCAGAGGAAAACATTCAGATGTTAATACACGCACCAAGAATACTCCAGCTGCATCCTAACGACTGTAAATAAACCCCTGCTGAATTTATACTTTCATAGAAGATGGGGTATGCGTGGAGTAGCTCACGGCCCATCGCATACCACTGCGCACCTTGCTATATACTGTTAGAGTTGCTTCAACCGGTAAATCAAAGACAGCTTACCCCAGAAAACACCAGCGCTAGGTTAGGCGACGCCAGAGAACGCGATGCAGAGGTGAATCTATCCGGCAGGACACTCCAGTCATCAGAAGATCTAGCCACCACGAACGATCTCCATGGGAAATGAGTCCGGCGAGATCCAAGCGTGTATGAAACATCATTGATATCGGGGACTGAAGTTGTCGACAGAAAGGACTTCCAGGATTCTCGGATACGAGAAATTCCTTTTTCATCTGCGGAGGACCATACTAGGAGCTTTGGCGAGTCTGTTTTCTTCTCGTCCTGGCAAAGGTGGTCAATATAGAGGAATTGGTCTGAGTTTGGAGATTGAGGATGGACAGTGGTGCTGTGGTTTCCCAGCAGTCCGCGCATACGGAGGAAATTGTATGCATCGTCCAAGACGACATGCGAATTAGATCCACCAAAACCGAATGAGCTGACTGATGCTCGTCGAAGGGTGTTTGTTGGCCATGAAACAGGCTTATCTGGTATCTGGTGTTGTTAGGGCTAGTCTGTAGGTACGCGGACTACCAACCTTGATATGAAGGAACTCGTCATCAATGCGCGGGTTCAGATTCTCGTAGTTGGTGCTATTTGGAGGAATTATTCCATTTTCCAGGGCTAATACTGCCTTTATAAGTCCTGCCACCCCAGCGGCTCCTTCAAGATGGCCGATGGTAGACTTCACCGATCCTCTAATACGGAGTCAGCACGAACTGCGAAGATGTTGATATACTTACATATACAACGGGTCCTCATTCGTGCGATACGGCCGAAAGATTGTACCAATAGCTTTACTCTCAATTGGATCTCCCACCGCCGTTCCAGTGCCGTGGGCTTCGAAATAGCGCGTCCCCGACATATCGAGACCCCCCTTGCGGTAGGTATCCCGGATAAGCGTCTCTTGCATTCCTATACTCGGCAGCGTAATCCCAGGAGTCCTACCGTCCTGATTCGATGCAGCAGACCGGATCACAGCTCGGATCGTATCCCCGTCGCGGATCGCATCCTCCACAGGCTTGATAACCAGCACGCCAACACCCTCACCCCTGGCATACCCATTCCCGCGACTGTCGAAACTATAGCACCGGGAATCCGGCGACATCAGGCCCAGATTATCAAGGATGAGGCCCGTTTCCAGAGCCAGGATCGTGTTGCTCCCGATCGCCATGCCCATCTTGGAATCGCCGCTCCAGATTGACTGGCAGGTGAGATCTACAGCCATCAAGCTGCTCGAGCAGGCTGTGTCGACTGTTGCGCTGGGGCCGCTGAGATTGAAGAACCAACTGACTCGGTTGGATTGCATGTTCATTGATGTCCCTGTCGCTGAGAACTTGCACATCGCCTGCAGGTCCTTGTTCTGCAGCGTCTCGTAGTCGTGCCCGAAGGACCCGGTGAACACGCAGGTCTTTGAGCGCGCTGCCTCGTTCATGGTGATCCCGGCGTTCTCGAGGGCGCGGTAGGACGTCTCAAGAACTAATCGCTGCTGGGGGTCCATGGCCTCCGCCTCGGCGGCGGTGATGGAGAAGAAAGGAGCATCGAACAGGCTTAGGTCCTCCTTCATGAAGTGGCCGCCTCGCATTGACAGGCTGTCTAGGCGGTTGGAATTGGGGTGGTGATGTGCGTCTATATTCAGCCTGTCTGGGGGGAATTCTGTTGTAGCACATCGCCCCTGCACGATCATGTCCCAGAAAGACTCTGGTGACACAGCGTCCTGTGGGAATTTCAGGGACAGCCCGACGATGGCCAATGGTGGCAGGGTATCTATTTCTCGTGCGTCTCCCATTTTGCTAAGTCTTTTCTCAATATCGTATATGTGATTCAGGCGGAATCTTGGAGGTTTGTGTGTGTTTTTAATGTCTGCGCAGGCTGTTGCGTATGCATATCCTATATGATCACTCACTATCGGAGGAATTTATTGATCAGACTCAGCTGACAAAAAAATAAATAAAATAGATTGAGTTTTGGTAAATTGTTGCGCCCCCAGCAAGGATGGCTCAGCCGCAAAACCAAGGCCAGTTGTATGGTGTCATTCTCGACAATAACCTGATAATTGGCTGCGAGTTGCCTCATGTAGCGTCGTCACAGGATTTCTCGGAATGTGACGCTCCATCTTTCAGCGCCTTATGAGGCCATGCAGGATCAGCTCCACCAGATCCTCTATTTCGGGGACCGGAGTATTTCAACGGGGCTATTGTCTACTTCTATTTGAGACAGTCCGGAGGATCCCACCATCTCAAAGACAGCATTCTGGCAATTTCTTGCAATGCGGTTCCTCTGGTATGTTCGCATTCAGCTTTTGATGCTTGCCTGCTTGCCCTAACTCTCCTCCAGTCTACACGGGATCGGGAGCAATTCTCGCGTACGTCCACCAAATAAAAGAATGAAGGAATGAAATAACAGTTTCTAGATCCTACAACAGCAAACAGCAGCGCTAAGATATGAACTCGGCAACCGCCACAGCTACGACTTCGTCGAGGGCACTCTCCCCTGGACCCCCGACTCAACACTGAAAGACAACATGCTCGGCGACGAAAAGACCTTTTCCTACTGCGACCCAACCGACGCCAAGTCCTGCCTACAGACGATTGACCTGCTTGACCAATACGTTGCAGCCGAGGGTCCATACGATGGTGTCATTGGGTTTAGCTTGGGCGCCAACGTCGCCATCTCGTGGATGATTGAGCGCCAGCGCAAGAACAGCAAAGCCGGTCTACCCTTCAAAGTGGGCATTTTCTTTTCCAACACGTTTCCCCTGTACAACATGGACGCTCTCCAGGAGGGTCGGATTGATCATTCAGGCACCGTGGCCGATGGATGCCTTGATCTGCCGACCGCGCATATTTGGGGAGCAAGGGATGGGGGATCTAATCATGCACAGATTGCCAGCAGGACCTGCAAAGTGGCTGAAAGGTCGGTGTATGTGCATGGCAAGGCCCATGAGATTTCGTCCTCTCCTGACGACTTGATTGGTATGGTCAAGGTGGTCAATCGGGCTATCGGGGCCGCGGAAGACAATGTAATTATTATCTGAGGTCAGAATGAAATCGCTTATCTTATTGCATATGCAGCGGGGCATCAAGCCTCTTTGGATCATTTAGGCCCGAATAAGTGGCTGGGCAGGCCTTGGAAGGGGGCCAGACGTGCAGAATAAGCCCTAGTAGGGGCCTGAAAGGGGGAGTGGGCCAGCTGGTTGCAGATGCATCTGCACCAACTTCCTCACTTCCTCCAGGCGATCCTCCTTTCTGGGTCTGTTGCTGCGATGTGCTCACATACCTTGGATTAAACAGGCCCACTAATCACAAGCATGCTGTTCAACAACAAGGCGCAGTGGGCCTAGCTTAAAACTACGGCTGGCTCGAGCTCAGCTTCGCAGTTTATTTGAAAAGTTTCTGGGAGTACGGGCATCGTCAGAATCTGAATCCTTTTTCGACCTTTTCTTTGTTTTTAGCTGATATTGTTTATAATGTCCAAGGTGAATCAGAACATGGATGCGCAGGGGCAAAAGGAATGCGACTTTGAAGCATCCTCGACGTCGCCACCTCCTGTACAACACCTGCACGGGCTGCGATTATGGATTGTGGGGTTTGGGTTAGTCTCCTTGATGTATATCTAATCTCACCGCTCAACTAACCGTGGAAAGGCTGCTTTTGGCTCTTTTCCTGCCGTCCCTGGAAGTTAGCATCGTGAGCACGTCGCTGGTCACAATTAGCGACGACCTCCATGGCTTCGACCAGAGCAGCTGGGTGATTACTAGCTATCTATTAACTTACTGCGGTATGCTGTCTCACCTATCAACAATCCAATATCTAATAGTGCAGGCTTTCTTATGATATGGTCGAAATGCGGAGACATCTTCAGCGTCAAGTCATCTCTGCTGTGCTCCCTGTTCTTCTTCATCGCCTTCAGTGGAGGATGTGGAGGAGCACAGACTCTAAACCAGCTGTGGGCTTTCTAGTAGTATAAACTGTGTACAATACGAGCTGACTGATTTAGGATTGTCTTCCGCGCATTGCAGGGAATCGGCGCTGCAGGCGTCTACACCTTGACGCTGTTTTCGCTGCTGCGCCTGGTTCCTCAAAGCAAATATGATCTTATCGCGTCTGTTGCTGCTGCGATAATGTCCTTGGGACTCGCAATCGGACCCCTTCTTGGAGGCGCGATCAATATATCCGATCAATGGCGCTGGGTCTTCCTGCTCAAGTAAGTAGCCCTAACCCGTAACCACACCCAGCACTAACAAGAGACACAGTCTGCCAGCAGGCGCATTCGCCTGGCTCATTCTCTGTATTTACATGCCAAGTAGTTATCCCGACATCCGTCCCTCGCAGTCAGAAGCGAAACTTCTGCGCTCCAAGGTCAACACCTTCCTGGAGAACCAGAAGATCTTCTTTCGCCGGGTGGACTTCCTCGGCGCGTTTCTCGTCCTCGCAGCCTCGATGTTCCTCATCGCTGCATTGCAGGAAGGTAATCTCGAGTACGAATGGTCCTCTGCACTTATTGTCAGCTTCATCGTCGTCTCCGGCGTCCTATGGCTGGCTTTCCTCGCCTGGGAATGGCTCGTCAGTCGCCACGACTGGAAAATCCAACCAATGCTCCCCTGGCGTCTAGCCCAGAACCGCGTTTTTATTGGCGTTGCTCTGTAAGTCCCTTGAAGCTGGTAAATCCAAAATCTGAGCTAACATGGTCATTAGTGGCTTCCTTCTCACGGGCGTCCCCGTAACAACAGCCATAATCGAGCTCCCACAGCGCAACCAAACCGTCAACGAGTCCTCGCCCATCGGCGCAGGCGTAAAGCTCCTCGCATACGCCCTCAGCCATCCAATTGGGACGATTCTCTGCTCCAGCCTCGCCGGCCGGCTCAAAGTCCCCTTCGTGCACATCTGCATCGTCGGGCTCATCCTGCAAACCGTCGGGTTCTTCCTCCTCTCCACAACACCCACAACAATCGCTTTCTGGAATGGGCAAATGGGGTATACGGTCCTTGCGGGTCTGGGGGCCGGTATGTCTGTTGCGGCGGTGTATATCATGGTTCCGCTCGTGGTGGACGGGGAGGATCAGAGTATTGGGCTGGGAACAGGCTTGCAGCTGCGTATGCTTGGGGGCGCGCTGGGTGTGGCGATTGCGACGTCGATTCTGAATGCGCATTTGAAGAGTCGGCTGGGTGGTGTGTTGGATGGGGAGCAGTTGGATGTGGTGCTTGATAGTGCGCAGGCGGTTGGGTTGTTGCCGGGGGATGTCCAGGTGCAGGTGAGGAGGGTCTTTGGCGAGGCGTATAACATGCAGATGAAGGCGGTTGGGGGGTTCTCTGCGGCGCAGGTCTTGCCTGCTGTGCTGATGTGGAAGAGGAAGCAGGTGAGGCTTTTGAAGGATGGGAAGTAGAGTAGTCTAGTATTTTATTCCTGCCAGTGGGTTTAATATGTTTAATATTGTCAGGATGGCTATCTTCTATTATTGCATCGTATTCAAACCTAATTCGACTTAGGGCTAATTTCACCCGCTCTCAAATATAATCCCATTCACAATAATCAATACAAATCCTTCAACTCAGTCTCTCCTCTCAGCGAGTTTAATGGACTGCGCAGATCCACCCAGCCCAAGAACGGCGCACTGAGGCCATAGCCCATCGTCTTCAACATCCCATCATCATAAACCCCTTTAACATCCTCCCACCGACTCGCCAAATACTGATTCTCCTCCTGCCTCAGAAAACCCTTCGTCATAAAGAAGCTATAAAGCAGCCTCTCCTGATCTTTCGTCCAATTCGCTGACCCCCCATGATAACAGCTCGAGAAGAAAACAAACATATCCCCAGGCTCCAACTCCGCATGCACAGCTAAACCCTCAACCGGCGGCGTCTCATGAGCCCACAGATGCGAGCCCGGTATAAACCGCGTCGCCCCATTCTCCTTCGTCGAGCGACTCGCCGCAACGAAGAACCCAACGCCCACATCCTGTCCGACCTTATATTCCTCCACAGGTATAGACCGCGGTTTATTATGATGAATCATGTCGTCCCGGTGTAGACCCTGCGCGCGCGCACCAGGGCCCACGGAGAAAATAATCGTGTTATTCAGCTGCGGCGGCGAAACGTGTTCCTCCCATTTCTCTCCAATCCAGCAGCCCAGTTTGCTTGTAAGCAAAATATCCGAGATAGACTGGAAGATAGCGTTTCCGACGATTCCTTCTATGAAGGGCTGGGATTTGCCCGCGAGGCCGCAGACGCGTCGAGTCTCTTTGGGGAAGAATGTCCCGGTCCATTCGGTGTCGGTTTGTATGTAGGGTCTGGTGTCGTGCTCGATGCGGGTTAGGATTTCGGGCGTGATGGCGTGCCGGAGTATGACTCCTCCTGCTTTTATCATTGCTTGGATTATGCATGGGGGTGTGGTGGTTGGGTTTGTGGCGTCGAAGATGGGGACTGCTGGGACTGGACGGCTGCGGTCGTCGGTGCTGGGGGTGCTATGGGGTGGCATTTTTATGGTGTTTTCAAGGTCATATCATCTTAGTCTCCTTAATGTGGTTTATATTGCCTTATAAGTTCTTCACCTTTGTCTGTTCTAATATGATAGACGGGAATAGTAGTTTCGGCGCAACATGACCCGTAATAAGGAAGGGAATGCAGCAGATAAACGGATAGTTTAACTCGGTTTGGAAACTGGGGAGCTCAGGCATGCATGAATATGCTTATCAGGTGTGGGAGACCCAGTCTACTCATATATGAAGTGCATGATAAGCGATGTCCCCAGTCTTGGACGAAACAGGTAACTGATACGCCCAACTACAGTGCTGAAGCGGGGTTGGTTGTAAACTAATACGAATGTTGTTAATGGCTGAACTCCTTTTTATGCTTTGCATCCTTCCCAAATCGATAATAAATCATGCTATACAAAGGTATCTTCCGGTTCAAACACCAGCGCCACCTGCGCTTTCGGAGGCCATCCAGCCTGGCTATCGAATGTCTTAGCAAACGTGTACCGTCCTGATCCAACGATCTTCTCCTCCTCGCCACCAGGGAGAACCACCTTCGCCGTCGAATTAGGAGGCACAACCAGCCCCAGGTGGAACTGATCCCGATTCCTAACCTCCCATCGAGTCTCCAACCGGCCGTACGCGGTCTCATATATCGCCTCGGCAGAGGTAATCGTACCTCCCGGTAAGGGTTTCACGAGTATCCGCCTCCACCCAGGCTCTAGCGGACTCACTCCAGCGACCGTCTTATGCAGCCAGTTGATAATCGACCCCAGCGCGTAGTGATTGAAACTGGTCATTTCCCCAGGATTGATGGAGCCGTCGGGGAGCATGCTATCCCAGCGCTCCCAGACAGTTGTCGCGCCCATGCGGATCGGATACATCCATGAAGGGCAGTTGGATTCTTGTAGCATGCGGTAGGCTAGTTGGTGGTGACCGGCCTTTGTCAGAGCGTGCGTGATTACCGGTGTACCCGCGAAGCCTGTGGATACTTGGAACTTTGATATGCGCACAAGGCGGGCTAGTCGGTCGCCTGCGGCGGCGGCTTGTTGTGGGTCATCGTGGAGGTCGAAGACTATTGCGAGGCTGAGTGCTGTTTGAGTGTCTCCTACTAACAAGCCCGTGGGGGAGATGTACTTGGTCTGGAACCGGGACCTGAGGGTTCGGTGGTCAGCCTTGTATCGAGATGCGTCTGCGGATTCGCCGAGGATGGAGCTGATATCGGCAAGGATCCCTGTTATGTATACGAGGTAGGCATCTGCAACTAGGGTTCCGTCGGTGCGAGAGTTACCGGGTTGGTCTGGAGGCGCGGTTGGGTCAAGCCAGTCGCCGAGTTGGAAGAGTGCATCGTCCCAGAGACGGTCTGGGCCGCGCTGCACCCCACGCTCGAGATAGGCAGTCATGCTAGGGTATTGCCGGCGGAGCATACTAGCATCCCCGTAGCTTTGGTACAGTGTCCAAGGCAGGATTATAGATATGTCATCCCATACAGCCTGGGGAAACGTAGGCCAGAAGGATTCATCGATAACATTTGGGACCACGAGCGGCGGGATTGCCTTTGGGTGTGCAAGTTGTTCGGCTGAGAGATCCTGTAGCCAGTCACTCAGCATGCCTCCGGTGTTATAGAGAAAACTTGCAGAAGGAGCAAATATTTGGAGATCGCCCGTCCAGCCCATACGCTCATCGCGCTGCGGGCAGTCCGTGGGAACAGAGAGGAAGTTTCCGCGCATACTCCATATCGCATTTTGATGCAGTTTGTTGACCATCTCATGGCTACAGTTAAACCATCCAGATCGTTTGAGGTCAGTATGCATGACCTCGGCAACAAGGCTCTGCAGCGTGAGCGGAAATTCCATGTCTTCAGGGTCCCATCCGTCCACCTGAACGTATCTGAAGCCATGGAAAGTGAAGCTAGGAGCCCAATTCCGGATTTCTTGACCGGCTGATATGATCTCGTCCTGGGCCTTGGCTATCCGGAGCGGACGAGTTCCTAGTTCCTTGTTTTCAAGGACTTCCGCATGTCGAAGGACTATAGAATGGCTTGCTGGTTTCTTGACCGAGTGAATCCGGACACGGCCAACAAGGTTCTGCCCGAAATCAATGACCACTTTGCCGGCCGGCGTGCGGATTATCTCGACTGGATCGACCACCTGAGTCACTCGCACTGGAGGAGCGTTTGGAGCTACAAGCTGTGCCGCAGGTAATGCGATTTCGCGAGCTGACCCCCACGGCATCGCCAAGGATGATTTCTTCCAGCCATCCTGCTCCTCCCGGGCGTCGTAAACTTCTCCATCGTAGATCTCGCTCCGGATGATCGCAGACTGGTGGGACTTCCAGCTTGTGTCAGTCGCAATAACGATTGGCGATTGGTCTTCTTGTCCTGGGTCAATTTCCAGCTGCGCAAGCAACCCAAGCTCATCCCCATAGATGAACCGTCTGCCTCCATGAAACCCCAGTCGCGTAGCATACCAGCCCTCTGATACTTCAACCGCAATAGTATTCTCCCCTCCAGCCTTCAGAAGCGAGGCGACATCAAAGACCTCGTAGTTCAATCGGTTGTGATAGCTCGTCCACCCAGGAGCCATGCAATGGTCACCCACCGGCTCTCCATTGATGTATGCCTGGAACACTCCCAAGCTCGTGATGTACAGCCTCGCATGCTCCGCAGAGGCCTTTGGCAAAGGGAACGTCTTCCTGAATCGGACAGGACGCAAAGGGCCTTCATTCTGCTTAACAGGACTGGCGATTGCCCGCGCGCTCCAGTCATCCCGACTCAGCAGACCACACTCAACGGTGCTCCAATCTGACCATTCAGTCAATGTCGTATTATTTCCCGGCCCTCCATGAGAGCGTACGCGAACTTTTGCGATCTCTCGCGATTGCAAGGGCTGGCTCGGCCACGGCACCAGTACGGATTCGCTAGAATCAACACGGTATGCTTCTGTGTTGTTGTCACCACGAGCGACTTCGACTTCGTACGCGGTCTGTTGCCAGTTTGCAGCTGTGCCTTCGGTTGCTGTGAACCTCCACGAGATCCGGGGCTGCGCGGAGCCAATGCCGAAGCCGGTGGGATGCTGCTCGAAGGAGGGCGGGGTTAAAGTGGGTTGCGACATAATCCTGATAACTGCTGGTTTGAGGATAACCAGATGTTGGCTCTAAGTTGATGATTGACGCATCTGACTTGAACGCCGAACGAGTACGAGCACCGATGAGTTGGCTGCGTCAATGTATCTAGACTTCAATAGAGGTGCCCGAGCTTCCCCATCGAGGGACAATTGCGACCGAATGAACTCGGATTCGGGGTGAATGGCTGCGAGCTGGAAGTTGGCCGGTAGAACTTCGGCAGATTAACGCGTGAGCTGGAGGGGTCGTGACTCGGTGTGTTGGAGTTGATGGACTCGGTGGAGATTCACGCCATAGTTCTGTTCTGGGATCGGATCGCACTCTGGATATTATCAATTTGACGAGGTACTGAGCACCAACAAAGATAACTAGGCTATATTTGCATTCTAACATTTAGACATTTAAGTCAACTCCCGAGGCTGTTCTATTTCTATACTATGGGAAAGTGTTACTCCATACGTCATACGTCAGTGGCCGATGTCTATGCAAATTCCGCCATTAAATCCCCAATGGCATCGGCACCCTTGCCCCCTCCCTCCAAGCGAGGGTTGGTCGTCTGGATTAACACTCGTCTATAGCTCGTCAACGCAGGTGTTCCGTTATCCGTCACCTGCAATATCAAATGCAAGATCTGCCCCCGGGGGATTGGTTGTCTGCTCATCAACTCCACACAGCATCTCTCTGGCGGCGGAAGACTAATATCCGCCTTTCGACCTTCGTCGATGGGTTTTATCGATATGTCTGCGACTTCTGCGTCCACCCATGCCTGAGTAGCCGTCGGGTCCTTGTAGTGGAACCACTTGAAGGTCAAATCATCGCCGTCTAGATCGTAGGTCCTGGACGCATCGAGAGTGAGAGTAGATCCTGCTTCAGCCTCGATTTCCAGTGGAGTCAAACTCGTATCGCCATTGATGGAAACAATTGGTGCATGGTTAGCAGCAGAAAAGTCGGACGAAAGTGACCATTTGATACGCGCGGCAAAATCGTTCTGGAAACTGTCTCTCCAGCGCCACACGGTCCCGTGATTCGTGGTATATATGCGGCCATCTGCTCCAGCCACCCGGTCGACAGCATCGCCATAATGTTTGCTGGCAAGGCCCTTGGCACTCACATCAGACCGCTGATACCGGCCACCCCAAGAACCATACTCTGGATGCTCGGGAACCCCCAGCCCATTTTGAATCAAGTATAAAAAGGTTGCCGTATCACCCTCGGGGATGAACATATAATCAGGATACGCAGAACCCAGCTCGCCAATCTGAATATTCTCGCGTATCCATTGTTTAGATACTTTCGTAAAATCCGGGCCGCCTTGGTCAAAATTATAGTATTTATCGCCTGAGATTCCCGTCCACGTAGCGAGGCCGTAGTGGTTCCAACCGTGGATAGAAGCAATATAAAAAATATCGGGATACCTGTGGCGAATCCAGGGGCCCGTGTCATCCTGATCTGATATCGTATAAACTCGGAGTTTAGAACGCAGTTTAGCAGCATCATCCACGGAGTAAAGCTTCTCGATCCGAAGAAGCACCTGAGCTAGAACATTGGTGCCGCCCCAGAAAAGAACCCAGAGGGGCTGATCGCTAGGAGCTTGTATACGCTCGAGGAGTAGTTCGCCGCCCTCACTAAGAGGGATATCATCTCCCACTGCTTCCATTCCATATACCTCTGCGCCCTTGCGCACGAGGCCTCGGAAGTAACTCGCCGGCTGGTATTTGGCGCCAGGATGGACGTGGGCGTTGAGGTTTTCGACAACTTTCTCGTAGGCGTCAATGATCTTCTGCATGTCCTGAGGACAGACCTTGTTCTTCATCCATGTTGATGTGCAAGCTACCAGGCCCTCTGTTTGGAATTGATGGCTGT